TTCACAGATGAAGAGAGAGGCTCAGTGGGGAGGGGACTTGCTGGCGTCACCCCCAGGAAGGGTAGCATTAAGCCTCTGCTGCCCCTGTTACTCCCTCCTCCTGACCTCCTGGTGGCCTGATTCTCTGCTTGGTGCTGGTTGGGGAGTCCGGGTGGGGAACAGCAGGAGCCCCTCTCCCCAGGTCCTGGATAGAGCGGTGGACATTGAGCGGGGTCCCTGTCCTTGGCAGGTTTGCCGGCCTTTGCAACCTGGTGATGGTGTTCTCATCCCAGCTCCTGGCTTGGCCCCCTGCAAATCCTTCGACCACCGAGAATCAGATGACCTAACTTTCGCTCCACAGTCACATGCCTTCCCCTTGTTTTGATCACCTTGTGTTTGCCAGGTGCCCTGGCGACTGTGTCCTTGCTCCGCTGCGGCCCCCCCCAGAGGAGTCAGGGGCTGGAGCCTGGGCCTGGCAGAGCCGTGGGGCCGTATGCAGGGGGACTAGTGTGGTGAACCAGCTTTGACCCCCTTGAGGGACCTGTGACCTTCCAGACCACAGACCAGCCTGAGTCACCTCAGTGTCCCCAGGGCATACACCGAGCAGGTTTATACAGCGTGGGCTGTTTCAATGCTGGATTCTGGGAGGGTGCTGGGGGAGAGACTTGGCAAGGGGGTGGGCGCCCACTGCCTGGGTTCAAACCCGGCTCTACCACTGCCAGCTGTAGGACTGAGATGTGGGTAAATAATGAGGTCCTCTGAGCCTCAGTTTCCTAATCTGCAGATGGGGATAAGAATAGAACCCATCTCTGAGCCAGGCGTGGTGGTTGTGCTTGTTGTCCCAGCTGCTCAGGAGGCTGAGGTGGGAGGGTCGCTCGAGCCCAGGAGGTCGAGGCTGCAGTGAGCCATGATCATAACACTGCACTCCAGCCAGCGACTCTGTCTCTAAAATAAATAAATAAATAAATAAATAAATAAAAGCTGCAGACCAGAAAGAATAGTACCCCTTTCTGAGTTGCTGTGTTGAACTGATACAGATTAATCAGTATTAGGTACTTTGGGCCTGGCACGAGCCTGGCAGATGGTATGCAGGTAACTGCCGCTATTGCAATGCACTACCCTCGTCAGCCTGGCCGCAGCCTGCAGTGGCAGCCTAGGCTAGCCTGGCGATCCCGCAGGGCTGAGCTGGCGCGTACTGGGAGCTACACAGGGGCCGGGGGAACTCTGGAGGAAGCAGCAGAAGGTGCTTCTCCTTCCTCTGGTTGACTTCAGCCCCACCCCACCTCCACCCCCAGGAGGTGGGTGATCACAGGGTAATGGGTCTTCATTAGAGCAGGCTTGGATCTGTGGAGCCTCAGGCCCTGGAGGGGTAGGGCTGGTGCACGAGGGCAATGCCAGGTGGGCCAGGAGGGCGGTGAGGCAGCCACTTGGGGCCAGGAGCTGGCAGGACGAGGAGTTCTGAGGTGAGGTTGCACCTCCCCGGAGTCCCTCACCTGGCATGGGTGGGATCCTGCCTTACCACTGGCTGCATGCTCTGCGTCTTGGAACCATCAGGGCCTCTGCTCTGTCCCCACCAGATGGAGCCATAGGGAGGAGGAACTGGTGGGCTCAAGGGCACAGGCTGGGGCTTGGGGAAAGGCTGACTATGGAGTTGCTTGGATGGTGACCCCCAGGTCTGGTTTTGGAAAGCTCAGGGCCTGCTGCAGGAGCAGAGGGTGTCCAAGGGCGGGAAGGGGCTGAGGCTTGGCTGAAGACCGGACTGTGTGGGGTGGTGGTGGGGGCAGTGTCACAGAGAATCAGGTGTGCGGTGACTTCAGGGCCACCCACCTGAAGCCATCTGGGGAGAGGAAGGGCCCATCAGAGACAGGGGTAGGCAGGGCTGAGTTCCCATTCCCGTGTGCCAGCTCCAGAGCCTTCTCAGAGGCGGGTTTCACCAGGCAGAGGCCCTGGGCTGTGAGGTCTTCTGGGAACAGAGTGGGGGGTCTGTCCACGGGCAGAGGGTCTGGGGCCTTGTCCTCAGAGGCCTGTTCTGAGCGTGGGGTAGGGCCAGAGCAGGGTCCTCCTTTGTCCTCCCCTTACCCATGGGCAGATCCCAGACTTCCTTCCGGAATTTCCGGCAGCCACCTGTGCATGCCCTCGTCCATTCTGTTGCTCAGGCGACCAGTCAGTGACCATGTGCCGGGCTGGGTTTCCTAAGTCTGGGACCACCCTGCTGGAAGGGGACAGCTGGAAGGAAGCAGGAGGGAGAGGCCCCCCCTCGAGATTGCATCAGCCGGAGCCCATTACATAAGCAGTGTTGGGCACTGCCAGGGTGTGGGGGTGGCTCTGCCCAGGCGGTCTCCTGCGGTGGCGGGGGAGGCGGAGGCCGGGTGGCAGAGTGGGCAGCTGTGGACTGGCATCCCATCAGCTGCCCCACCACAGACAGCTCCCTGCCAGCTCTGCCACTGCCCCACCGACACCTACTCTGCAGGACAAGTCTGGGGGGATCCCTGTGCACGTTTTCAGCTGGTTTGAAAAATCCCCACCTTCCCACACCAGTGATCAGAGGAATGGGACGGGGTCAGCTGGAGCAGCCCAGCCCCTGCCCCTGGCTATGTGGGGCCTGACCCACATAAACCCACCTGGGGCAGCCCTTGCTGTTGGCTCCCCTGTGTGCCCTAGCCCTCCACAGGGTGCCCTCCCTGTGTGGGAGCCCCAAGCACCTGGCTACCCTTGAGGAAGGCCCTGGTGCAGAGAGGCACCAAGACAGTGGTGCAGCCCCCCACCTTCCCCTGGTGCAAACTGGCCCTGTGGGATGCAGGGGTGGGAGGGGCGTCCGCTCAGCCACCAGAGCCACCAGTGCCCCAGAGGAGTGGGGACGGTGGGGCTAAAGCTGCACCCATGGTGTGGGCAATGGGAGCCCCAGAGACCCAGGGTAGGAGGCCTCCTGTCCCCCTTTCTCTGCTTAGGACTCTCCAGGGGTCCCAGGCCAGGCGATGGGGGCCTGTGTGGAGGGTGACAGGTGAGTGTTGGGTGTGTCCTGGGCCACATGCGTGTCTGTGTGTCTGCATGTGGCGAGTGTGTCTGAGCGTGTGGGCCACGCTGGGGGACGCTTCGAGGCCCTTTTGTTGACCCTAAGGTCACCAGACTGCCTGGGTTCAAACCTGGCTCCACCACTGCCAGCTGTAAGTGGTTATGATAAAAAAAACTTCCTTGGGGGAAGGGGCTCTCTGTCTGTAAACTTGATCCAGTGGGGACACTCTGCCCGCTTTCTGGGTGAAAGCCTCCTGGTGGCCCCAGGACCTCTCGTCCTCCTCGGGGTCCCACTCGAAGCAACCCTCAGACTCTGAGTGACACTCCCTGTTGTGTCTCCACTGTCACAGAGGGTCGGGTCTGGGGTGTCTGTGGCAGAGGGTCTGAGGCTGAGGGGCTTCTCTTTGCTCCTCGGCTTCCCCTGAGTGCTCCTGAGTGCACAGGTGATGGTGGAGAGCGGGTAGGGCAAGCTGGATGGGGCACTGGGGCCGCAGGCTGGCATGAAGGGCTCGCTCTCTCGTGGGCCCTTCTAGAGGACTCTTGGAGGTTCTTTCCTTCTGGAAGCCTCCTTTGCCCCCACAGGCAGAAGTGTCTCTACTTTGGATGGTTTGATTCTTGCTGCTCTGCCTGCCAAGAGGACCCTCCCCACTGCCCCTCCACGGCTCATGTCTGGTGCGCGGGAACTCCAGGCTTGGCTACCCTTTGTCTCTCCTGATTTCCCAGTTGAGGGTCTGGGAAATCTCTCCTGATTTCCCCAGGCCACTGCTGCCACAGCAGGGGTCTCATGTCACACCCCCCAGGACACGTGTCAGCCCTTCCTCTGGGTTGGAGGTTGAGGGAGGCAGACCTGGAACTGTGGCCAGTGTCTTCAAAGATACTCCCCTCCTGAGCCTGCCCGGCCTGGGCCCCCTCGGCCTTCCGAGTCAGTGCAGGTGAGGGCAGCTCCAGAACACTCAGGTGTGCTGGGCACAGCATCTCTCTGTGGACTGTCACAGCTTTCTAGTGCCCAGCTGTAATACGCTTGGTTTCCCGTTGTGAGTGTGTTGGAGGTGGGGGAGTGTGGACCTGTATGCCTGTGTGTGCACAGGTGCGGGATCCAGGAGGAGATACAATATGGTCTTGGATTCTCTATTGAGGCAGCATCCTGTCAAATCCGTGGCGTATCCTGGCATCTTCCTTGCTGAGTTTGTCCTGCAAATCCCCAGGGACCTCAGGTATGGGACCCGAGCGTCCCTGTGGTCCACAATTCTCTCCCTCTCTATTTATTTATGTTTTTTAAGACGGAGTCTCACTCGGTTGCCCAGGCTGGAGGGCAGTGGTGCGATCCCGGCTCACTGCAACCTCCACCTCCTGGGTTTGAGCGATTCTCTAGCCTCAAGTAGTTGGAATTACAGGCGCCTGCCAGCATGCCCAGTTGAGTTTTGTATTTTTAGTAGAGACGGGATTTCATCCTGCTGGCCAGGCTGGTCTCAGACTCCTGGCCTCAGGTTATCTGCTCGCCTCAGCCTCCCAAAGTGTTGGGATTACAGGCGTGAGCCACCGTGCCCGGCAGGTCCAGCGTTCTCAAGTCGCCTCCTGGCCACACTGTGGTCCTCTCTGTGGAGGGGAGAGATGGGCCTCACTGAGGTCTGTGCTCTGCTCTGTCGGCCCCGACTCCTTCCTGGTAGAGGCGCTCTGTTTCTCGGGCAGTGACGGCAGCAAGGCAGTTCTATTTGTTGTTCGTGGAGGTTCAGTTTTCTGAACGCTGTCCTGTCAGGGCCAGGTGGTTATTGTCCCATTACAGAGGAGGGAAGGAAAGGCCAGGAGGTGAGGTGATGTCACACAGTCCCTAGAGCTGGGGCCCCTGTTTTGTGTTCTCCCACTTCACCAGGTCTGGGGAGAGCAGGGTGGCTGTGACCTGGCACAGTTGGGTGTCTGGGGTCTTAGCATCCCCAGGGCTGGCGCTGTGTCTTCAGGGCTGTCCTGGAGGAAGCTCAGGAGTAACCACTGCCACCTTCTGATTTTTCCAGAAGAAGAAGATGGTGGTCTTGAAGGCTTCGATGACTTTTTCCCTGTGGAGCCCGTGAGCCTTCCTAAGAAGAAGAAACCCAAGAAGCTCAAGGAAAACAAGTGTAAAGGGAAGCGGAAGAAGAAAGAGGTGAGGGGCAGCACCTGTGCTGGCGAGTTGGGGTCAGGTGGGGTTGTGGCTGCATCTTCCTGGCCGCAGAGGAGGGCTGGGGTCCCTGGACCTTGGAGTTTGAGGGTTTCTGAGAGCTGAGTTTGATGAAGAATGCCATAACCAGTGTCTGATACGAAGCGTTGTGCACGGAAGCCTTTTTAAGACGTTGGTGAGCTATCCTGTTTCTGGAGCAGGATGTCGGAGCGTCATTTTTCCTTCCTCCCGTTGTCCTATCCTGTGTGGGGACAGGGCCAGATTCTGTCGCCACGGTGCCTCCCTACCTCCCTGCCCCGCTCCCCGCTCCATAGCTGACTCCGTCCCTCTAAACTGAAACCTGAAGAAAGTGAAGTCAGTTGAAGAGAAGCAACGCCCCGTTTAGGGACAGTCACCTGCAGGTGACCTCTGCATTCCCGTCACTTTCTCCCTGGTTCTTGGCTGGTTCTGGATGGGCGAGGCTGCCGCACGCTCCGCTGCCTCTGGTTGGCGGGGTGTGACGGTGCGAACATGTCCCTTGTCTTCCCACGCTGCTGACACATTCCGAGCGTGCTTTTCTGTGCTTCACGCGGGCTCACTTGATCCTCATGACCAGCCCTGGAAATTGGTGGCATTCGAAGGATGATCGCCGGTTGGCAGATGGGGAAACTGAGGCGAGTTTGCAGCTTTAAGTCCTTCCTACTTGCACTGGCACACTGGGGTCTCTGCCATTTCCTCACCATATGTTTTTGGCTTCCTTCTGGGTGTCTCCTCTGATCCTCCAGGCCACCCTGTGTTGAGAACAATGGCAGGCACCTCACTTCACAGAGGAGAGCAGGGGCTCAGAGGTGCCCTGGCCCAAGGTCACACAGTGACACAGTGGCAGTACTGAGATCTGAACCCAGGGCTGTCAGCTGCACCAGTTGCCCCTGCCAGGCGTGTTTCCCCTCTCCTGCCTGCCCCGGGGGGACCTGAGGCCAGCTCTCCACCTTTCTTTCCCCCTGCCTAGAGGGGACTGGGCTGGCCCCACCTGGCAAGTGAGAGGTACAGGGAGGTAGCTGGTGAGGTGCAGTGGTGGTGGGGTGAGGTGCTAATGCTAAGCGGGTGCCCTTGGCAGCACTGGGCCTGGATCTAGGCCTCCCTGCAGAGTGAGATGGGGAGGTGGCTGCCAGAAGAGCCTAGGGGTGGGTTTGGGGAGCTTGTCCCAGGCTGGATATGCTCCCTGCTGTGAGGGTTTCGGGAGGGCTTGTTGCGGGGGGTGCACCATGGGTCTCTTGTCCCGTGAACAAGGTGCGATCACTGGAAGGCTTTGAGCAGAGGAGAGACTGATGTGACATGACAGCCTGGCAGGCTCCCCTGGCAGCTCCAGGGCCAGGCCAGAGGCAGGAGCAGAGCCCTGGGGAGGGAGAGATGGTGGTGGCAGGGGGCGAGGGTCCCTGCCTTCACCTCTGGGCCTCGGGTCTGTGTCCCATTTCCACCTCCCCGGCTTGTTTGGGGACTTGGAGGCATTTTGGAGGGCTCTGAACTCTACCTGCAGCCTGTGGTTCCTCCTCTGGTCTGGGTGTCAGCCTGGGGACGTTGGGAGGGCAGAGCCTGCCCTGGACTGTGTCCTTGGTCCTCACGGAGCTCAGGGACTGCCATGGAAAGGATGGGGCTGGGAGGTGTTGGCCCCACCCCTCTGGTCAGAGCTGCCCCAGGTGTGTCCTGCCCCTGTGCTCTCTGCTGGGGGCGGCGGTCAGCACCTCTCACCCACCTCCTACCGGCCCTCCTCTCCCGGCCTCTGCCTTGCCAGGCCCCTGCAGCCCTGGGCTCTCCTAGGAAAGCTTCCTGAGTGTGCCTTGACCATGCCCCACGGCCCCCTGGTCCGCAGCCTGTGTGGCATCCCCACTGCTGCCTGCCCCCACCCCCACCTGCTTTGCAGCCGATCCAGGCCTTTCTGGTCCTCCGTGCACACGAGTGTGTGCATGTGACTGTGTGTGTACCACCCTGTCTTCCCCTGGAGAGACCCTGGCCCCTCTGCCCGATTCTGCCTGCCTTCTCTGTTGCCCCTTAGCTCTGTGCCCCATCTGGCACAGTGTCGGGGATGGATGTGTGTCTGTCCCTTTCCAGGAACCCCCCCTTACCACCGGGCCAGCATGGGGGCTGCGTGGGGAGGATTTGTGAGGTGAAGGGGGGACCCGGGTCTGTGGAGCTGGGTGTCGAGGCTCCTGCCTGGCCCATCATGCCCCAGAGACTCCCAGGCCTACGCTCTGGGGCTCCTGCATCTTCCCCAGGGTCTCAAAGAGGGTGAAGCTCCCTGTCCCTGTGATTCGATGGGGACGCGGAGATAGGACAGGGGAAGCGGGAACTGTGTGCCTGGAGGGTCCCCCAGGGAAGGAGAGGCTGTGAGCCAGCTCCTTTGGTGAGGGACTCCCTGAATTCCCTGCTGCAGCCCCTGCCCTCCTCTTCTGCTGCTGTGGCCGCTGCCCCCTGGCCCCAGAGGTCGGTCCTTGTGCTGGGCCCCTAGGGGGTAGATGGCTCTGGGGCTGCAAGGCCCTGGGATGAAGGCACTGAGACTGTCTGGCAGAGGCTGTGAAATCTTGCTCTGCTGCCGTCCCCGCCCTCACTCCTCACACCTGGGCTCCATGGGCTCAGGGTGATGTGGATTTTAGGACCCTGAGGCCTCGTGGTCCATGGCAGGGACTCCTACCTGTGCACCCCCTGCCTACCTCCTCTGAGTTAGAAGCTGGGTGGGAGTCTAGGCCAAGAAGGGCAGTGTCACCTGGGCCTGGGTCTCAGGCCACTGTGCTGGGTGAGCCTGGCTCCTAAATGCAGATGAAGGAACCAGTGGGGTGCAGCAGAGACCTATGGAAGCCCCTGTCCCCCCAGGTAGGGCTGGCTCCCCTCCCCTCTCCTGGGCTCAGGGTACAGCCCCAGCCCTGGCTAGGAAGGAGGCTTGGGGGGTGGGCAGCGTCTGGACAGTGGCGAGGCCTGGGGGCTGGGGGCCAGGTGGTCTTTGAGGCCTGGGAGGGCTGGTTCTCCGACTCTCTCATTCCCAGAGCGATGATCACGCTGAGCCTTCCCTTTTCCAACTGGCCCAGGTCTTCCCTCCCGCTTCTTTCTGTGACAATATGTTTTTGGTTTTTGTCCAGGTCCCTGTCTCTCTCTGGCTCTTGCCTGTCTGTCTCTCTCTGGGTCTCAGACTTGGTCCTTCCCTCTGGCCTGTGCTTGGTCTCCACCTTGGTAACCTCTCGGCATCTCCTCTCTGTCCTTGGCCCTCTTTTCTCTCTTCCCCCTCTCCCCTCATTTCCCTCCCTCCCTTTCATTCGCTCCACCCCTTCCTCACCCTCTCTCCTTCTCTCTGCTGAGATGCATTTCTGGTTCTTGGAAGGGGAAGGGGGCTGGGATGGACAAGAGGCCTCTGGAGGTGCCCTCTCCCTTGCATTTGAGAGCCTGGCTCGGGCCAGCTGTCAGATCTTAGGGGGTCTGGAGCATGCTGTGACCCAGCTGCTGGGTGCCCCCTTGCCCACCTGCCTGGCAGACTTGGGACCCCAGGATAAAGGCAAGGGGATTTCACCCCTCTGCCCCTCCCTGCCTCCAACCAGGTGGCTCCAAGATGACGGGGCAAAGGGACCAGGGCAGGTGGGCCGCAAGCCGCAGTTTGTTGGTTGGGGGAGGCCGGCAGCAAGTCGTGGATTCTGATTTACATAAAATAACCGGGCTGCAGCCGGAACCTGAGCATATGTAGATGAAGCTCCCTGTCAGACCCTAGCGAGCGCAGGAGGGAGAAATGATTTCAACCTGTACTGCAGCGGTTACCATAGCAACCAATTATTCAGTGCTAAATTATAACTGTTTATAACACTGGTGAATGGGAAGGCTCCTATTTCATTCTTCCTTTTTCCCTCTCAATCTTGAAGGACCCCAAATGGAGAATGACCGACTCTCCGCACCCTTCCTTTTGAGTTTAAATGTCTCCTTTTTCAGGAGATGCCGTGTGTGTTCGGAGCATCGGGCCTAGAGGGAAGGGAGATGGAGGTGGGAGGCCTCCGCCAAGAAACATCTGCGGAGCTGGGAAGGAGGAAGGGCGGCGGGACTGTCCATTGGGATCCCCAGGGCCTGATCGCATGCTGTGCCTTCAGCAGGGTGGGGGCTCAGAGCAGAGACCCCTCCTGCCTGCCCCTGCCTCCTGGCACACATAGGCTGGGCATAACATTCAAGGCAGCTTTGCAGGTGGATTCCATGTGGGGACTCCACATCCACTAAGACTCTTCTGCTAGCTGATGGAGCATCCCCTGTAGTCACACCTAAGGCTGCTGTAGCCGAAAGGTCAGTGCCCAGGTCGAAGGCCAACTGTCATCTGGATCTTCATGCCTGCAGTGTGGTTTGATGGCCCTTAAACCTTAGGGCTGGGTTGGTTCGGGAGCTTAGTTAGGGAATTACTGGTCTGTGTCTGTGTCTCCTCCCCCGCATGTGGCTTGGTCTATGAGCCTCTCTGTATGTTTTCAGATACTGAACTGCAAATCTATCTCTGGTTCTTGATCATTTCTTCCCTTCTTGCCACTGGATGATGCTTCGTCCCTCCAGGTCCCGCTGATGGGCCACTGCTCTGTTAGGTGTTTTCAGAACTATTTGGAGCTTTCTCTGCAAGGAGAGATTTTGGAAAAACACCACCAAAAGGAGGCCTAGTTCTAGAGTGTCAAAACAGCTGGATGCAGGGTTCTGCCCTGCACTGTTACCCTCAGCCAGCCCCTGGTAGGGGAGGAGGGCTCTGATGAGATCTGGTGCAGGTGGGAGGCCCAGCTGTGGGGGCTCCATGTGGTGGAGGCAGGGCAGAGGCTCAGGGCAGGGGAGGCAGGTGGGGACTTGGGAGTCAGACCCTTCTCTTCAACTGGACTCTCCCCAGTGCAGGCTGATGGAGGAGGGAGAGAAGCGCACCTGCTTCCAAGAAATGAGGGCTTTGCTGGCTTGCCTGAGCCCCAGTGGGTGACAGCAGGGCAGGGGCCACAGATGGGCAACAGACATGCCCGACGTCACCTGAGCCCATTCCGTGCCAAGGATCTGTGCCCTCCTGCCCTGCCACTTAACTCTGAGTGGACACTGGGTGAGCCCTTTGTCAGTGCCGGGCTCACGGCCTTCTGCCAGCCCTACTCTCCCAAGCTGGCGTGCGCTGCTGCTCCTGCCAGACAGTGGAGGCTGCTGGAGGTACCTTCCCCTCCTTATCCCTCCCTCCCTCCGGCTCTCTCTGGGCCGCCACTCCTGGTCTCCCCTGCAGGTCATCAAGGGGCCTGCTTGCCATCAGATGCCGGGTCAGCACCCCACAGATGTTGCCACAGCAGCCCCTTCTTGTCCGGGTCCTGCTCCCTCTGTACCGTGTTGCTGCCCAGCTGCTGGCAGCCTCTGTGCAGTTAGCTTGAACGCAATTCCAACAGCAGAAATGTGGGGGTGACTCTGATGTGTCCCCTCCAGCTTGTCATCCTGGCTGTATCTTTGGCTTCCAAGCAGAGCTGGGGTCATCATGGGTCGTTTGGGCATGTTCTAGGCATCATCAGAATCACAGTGGCCTCTGGTGTCTACGTGTGGGCATGGTGGTGTCGGGGGAAAGGGTCATTCTCACTGCAGCCTGCTCTGGCTTGGCCGAGTCCCCTGCCCAGGACACGGCAAGGCGGCCCAGCCCTAGAGACCTGGGTGCATGTCCCATCGTGCACCCCGCCCCACCCCGGCTCAGAGCACTGCTTCTCTGTGCTTAGGTTTCTCCCGTGTCAGAGATGTTCAAGGCATTTTCTTTTCTTTTCTTTTTTTTTTTTTTTGAGACAGTTTCACTCTTATTGCCCAGGCTGGAGTGCAATGGCGCGACCTTGACTCACTGCAACCTCTGCCTCACAGGTTCAAGCGATTCTTCTGCCTCAGCCTCCTGAGTAGCTGGGATTACAGTCACGTGCCACCATGCCCGGCTAATTTTGTATTTTTTTTTAGTAGAGATGGGGTTTCTCCGTGTTGGTCAGGCTAGTCTTGAACTCCCAGCGTCAGGTGATCCGCCCACCTCAGCCTCCCAAAGTGCTGGGATTTCAAGCGTGAGCCACCGCGCCCAGCCTCAAGGCATTTTCTTACAGTCTCCGTGTTTCCATCCTTTCTGGCATCCCCAGTTCACAGATGATGAAGCCGAGGTTAGCTTGCCACAGTGACTTGCCCGAGTCTCAGGCTTGCAGGGGGCAGAGCCTCCCTGGGGAGCCTGGGACTCACTGGCAGGCCATGCAGGATTAACCATGGGTCCCCCCACTTCACGCTCAGTGGGTTTGTGAGGTTTGTTCTCTGGCAGCTGAAGGCCCCCCAGGGCCCCTTCCTCTGTCCAGCCCCAGCCTCTGTCCGTGGTGCTGAAGTTCATGGCGGCTTCTCTCCCTTGTCCTTACCTCTGCTGGGGCGAGGGCTGCGGGAGAGCGTGTCTCTCAGATCACCTGAAGGCTGGTCTCTTGAAGCTGGCCAAACTCTGACTCCTTCAAGGGGACATGGACATCACTGTCTGACCTCCACCTCCCCAAAGGACTGAGGCTGAGCCTGGGAGCTGTGGCTCCAGGGCCCAGCATCTCCTCCAGCCTTGAGAGTAGGCTCCCAGCCAGTGGCCGCGTCAGTATTCCCGGAAACACCCGGGTTCCGGAAAAGCAAAGAGCACAGAGGCCCTGCTGCCTGGCAGCTGGCAGCGCCGCTAACTCTGGCGGCTTAATGGGCTAAGAGGTTTGGGAACAGGGAGGTTGGCGGGCAGGGGAGAGGGAGCGGGGCTTCCAGGAGAGTGGGGAAGTGCAGGCAGCGTGTTGGAGGGGGTGCCTCCCAGCTGGATCTTAGAGGAGGGGACCCTCACCTCCCCCTTCAGTGACCGTCTCCCTCTCCACTAACTGTTGGATGTGCCTGTTTGGAGCCACTCTCCTGGGAAAAGGCAGGTCATCCCCTTTTGACAGTGTGGCCTGAAAGGGCAGAGGTGGGCTGGGAGCCTCCCAAGACTATCCAGGGAGGCCCCCTGCCTTTGCTGCTCCCTCACTCTCTTTCCTTCTGCCACCCTTTCCTTTCCTTCTCCCTCCCTTCTTCTCTCCCTCCCTCCCTCTTTCCTCCATCCTCCCTCCCCGCCACTGCTGTTTCCTGAGCTCATTTTTTTATCTCTCTGGTTCTCTCTTCGTCTCGTCCCTTGCCTCTCCCTGCTCACCCTGAAAACAGTTAATGGCAGTCCTGTGCATGGCAAGCCCTGCGCACGGCGGGGATCATGGCCCTGCTGCCCGGCCCCTCCCTGGGAAGTGGCTGTGGAGGGCTTCGCCAGTCGACTTGCGACTTGCATCTCTAAAGGCCACAAGTAAATCACTTTCTCCGAGGGGCAGCACCTCTCTCGTGGGGTGCTGTGGTTGTAAACGCCCTTATCTCCATATAAATGAGCCATTTTCTGCCTGTACAGACAGGAAACTAAATCAAGGAAGCTAGGCTTAAGAGCTGCCTAAATTACCTTGTCTTGTATGGAGAGGAAGAGGCCAGGCTGGGATGGAAGTGGGGGAAGGTGGGCTTGTGCCATCCGTAGTAGTGTCTGCAGAGTCCGCACATGGAGAAAACTGGGATGTGCACGCTGCATTAATTACAGGTTTCACCTGACGAACGCAGTTCCATGGGATGTGAACTTAAGCAGAGCGCTGCGGCGCTGGGGCCTGAGATGCAATGGCCCTTCTCCGGTTGGGGCCCTTCTCTGGCTGGGGCTCTTCCCTGGCTGGGGCTCTTTCTTCCCTGGCTGGGGCTCTTCTCTCGCTGGGGCCTTTCCCTGGCTGGGGCTCTTCCTGTGCACTCCGGTTTTTTTTTTTTTTTTTTTTTTTTTTGAGACGGAGTCTCGCTCTGTCGCCCAGGCTGGAGTGCAGTGGCCGGATCTCAGCTCACTGCAAGCTCTGCCTCCGGGGTTCATGCCATTCTCCTGCCTCAGCCTCCCAAGTAGCTGGGACTACAGGCGCCCGCCACCTCGCCCGGCTAGTTTTTTGTATTTTTTAGTAAAGACGGGGTTTCACCGTGTTAGCCAGATGGTCTCGATCTCCTGACCTTGTGATCCGCCCATCTTGGCCTCCCAAAGTGCTGGGATTACAGGCTTGAGCCACCACGCCCGGCCTTCTGCACTTGGCTTTTTAACTCTGGGACCACATCCTCCAACACCGGCTCCTGGGTCCATGCCCCGTCATGTAAAACTGGTTCAGCCTCCAAAGTCCGTAGAAGCCTGATGATGACTGAAGCAGAGCCTGAGTTCACCTGCAGGGCTGCCGGAGTAGGCCAAGCTGAGCTTGCCGATGGAGAAGCCTGCTCTCACCAGAGAGCTGCTCTCACCTTGCCTCATCTGCAGGCTCCACTGCTTCCTGTGGCGTAGACCCTGGAGACAAGACTTCGCTTAGGCTGGCTTGGGGTTGCCCCTTTGGCTGGACTTTGGGGCTGAGCCGTGAGCAGTGGTCCCTGATGATGACCGATCCCCAGCGTGGGCCAGGAGGTAGCTTTCAGGGTCATCCTGCCACCCAGGACTCTGGATGTTTGTGAGGCCTCTGTTGCCCTCACTGTCCCCCTTCTTTTCCAGGGAAGCAATGATGAGCTATCAGAGAATGAAGAGGATCTGGAAGAGAAGTCGGAGAGTGAGGGTAGTGACTACTCCCCAAATAAAAAGAAGAAGAAGAAACTCAAGGACAAGAAGGAGAAAAAAGCCAAGCGAAAAAAGAAGGATGAGGATGAGGATGATAATGATGACGGATGTTTAAAGGTGACTATGGAGGCCTGGCTGGGGGGACAGAGCGACATCCCCGTTGGAGGGGCTGAGCCTCTTGCCTATATGGGTTTTTTTTTTTTTTTTTTTTTGTGAGATGGAGTCTCGCTCTGTTGCCAGGCTGGAGTGCAGTGGCGCGACCTCAGCTTACTGCAACCTCTGCCTCCCAGATTCAAGTGATTCTCCTGCCTCAGCCTCCCGAGTAGCTGGGACTACAGGTGCATGCCACCATACCTGGCTAATTTTTGCATTTTTAGTAGAGATGGGATTTCATCATGTTGACCAGGATGGTTTCCATCTCTTGACCTCGTGATCCACCTGCCTCAGCCTCCCAAAGTGCTGGAATTACAGGCGTGAGCCACGGTGTCCAGCCTGTTTTTTGTTTTTTTAAGATGGAGTTTTGCTCTGTTGCCCAGACTGGAGTGCGGTGGCTCCTGCCTTAGCCTTCCAAGTAGCTGGTACTACAGGGACGCATCACCACGCCCAGCTAACTTTTGTATTTTTAGTAGAGATGGGGTTTAGCCATGTTGGCCAGGCTGGTCTTGAACTCCTGGCCTCAGGTGATCTGTCCGCTTCAGCCTCCCAAAGTGTTGGGATTACAGGCGTGAGCCACTGTGCCCGGCCTGTTCTCTGCCTTCTGACCTGAGAGCCTGAGTCCGAAGGGCCAGAGTGTCCTTTCCCAGCTGACCTGAAGATGGAGCCATGAGCATGTGTGCTCTCGTGCGTGCGTGTGTGCATGCACAGTAAGGATGGATGAAATTTAGGGCTCAGTGGTGGAGATCGTGCAGCATCTTGCTGATGTACTGTCTGCTCTGCCAACAGCTTGCCCGCACGAGTGAGCAGCTATTTCTGGGGAGAGTGATAGATAGTGTGAGCTCCAGTTTAGTGTCAGGAACCTCTTGCTTGGAGCAATTTGGGAAAATAAAACAACAAATGGATTCTTTGCCACAAGAAGTGCTGGACAGCTTTGTTTATGGTAGGAAGGGAACTTGTGTCCTGAAATCCTGCCCAAGCAGGCATTCCTGGAGTCTCCTAGTGCATGCGGGGCAGAGCAGTTACAGAGATGGGCCAGCTCTCCCCTGGGTCCAGCATCCCCAGGAACATGGGAAATGATGTGAAGTAAGCCAGGCCTTTATGGTCATGCTGAGGTGCTCTGAAGTCTCAGAGGCTGCACCCTGGGGCTCCTTGGGGAGGCGGAGAGGCCAGGGGTGAGGCTGGTGGACAGGCAGCGGGTGAGTGACAGTGCCATCCAGGAACACTGTGCTCCCTTTGTTCTTTTATGAGACACCGAGGCTGAGTTTGGGCTGGCCGCGGATTTAAAGATAAACGCTCTGTAAATATTAGTACAGTTGCTGTTGGGTGAGGCGGAAATCATGAATGTGAATAACTGAAGTTGGGAGGTGCCGGAGGAGGAGCAATTCTTCCTGGCGGTGTCCTGACACCGGGGGTGATTTCGGGAGTCAGTGGAGTGTTGTGAGTCACTGGAGACAGATCACTGCTGCAGGGCTGGCAGTTCTGAAAGCTTCACTTAAGGGAGTGATTCAGGGTCACCCCGTAACAGTATCATCCCCTCGCTCACCTGCTGCTCTGCTGTCCTGGGTGGGGGCCAAGGGGTCCGTGTGCCATCAGGAACAGCCGTGTGTGTCCATGGGGGCAGGTCAGCCACAGAGGGGGCCCCGTCTGGGGACTTCTCTGAGGTGTCACAGAACAAGAGGCAAGAATGGGCTCTGGAGGCCTCCCGCAACCTGGACAGGCAGACTGGTTCTCAGTGCTGGGAGATGCTCAGGGCAGCCTTCTTTTGCAGGAGCAGAAGCCCAGCTCTGGGGCCTAGGCAGTAGAGGGATGTGTGGAATCAGGGCCCTGAGAACTGAGAGGCAAGGGGCATCGGGGTTGTGGGACCCATTGGTGTTATCAGAGGCTGTTTCTTTGCATCATTCACCCTGCCTCTGCTGTGTCAGTGTTGGGCTTAGGCCAGACACGCTCGTGGCTGAGCACTCTTGTGGCTGAGAATGAGGGCAGCAGCTGCTCGGGGCTTCTTGGTCCCCTCCAGCAGGAGGGAGAGCAGGCCTCCAGTATCCAGGTGTGCAAGCAGGAGACCAGCATTCCCCTGATTGGACTGGCTTAAGACATGACTGGCCTGACCAGACTTTGGCCTAGGAGTGGTGTGTACTGATTGGCTTAATGTATCAGGTTGGGTAGGGGCAGCTCAGGGCTGCCTGGAAGAAGTGGGATGTTGGGGAAGGAGGAAGGCAGGTGGGTTGGGTGCTAATAGTTACTAACACATTTTGACACACCCTGTTCCAAGCACCTGCACTAACTCTTTCTGTTCTGCAAGGCAGTGTACCATTATCTTCATTTTACAGATGGGGAAACTGAGGCAGGAAAGTTCAGTAACTTGTCCACCTCTCACCACTGGTGTGTGGTAGAGCCAGGATCAGAAGCAGCCCATGCCCACAGCCAGCACCTCCGTTTCTGAGCCCTGCCAGCCCGGGCTGCCTGTTGATCTGGTCACCTGACCCCGGGCTAGCTCTCTTGTGAACACACTGTGCCCCTGGGATGTTGCCCCACCCCAGGCCTCAGCAGTAGTTGGACCCTCTCAGGGCTCTGTCCCCAGCTGGCCCATTGTCCCATGCCCCTGCCTCAGCAGTGTCCTGTCCTTTACAGGGGCTGACGTGGCTATACCTGGCACCCTGGGGAGGCCTCATGTCTTTTTTTTTTTTTTGAGACAGAATCTCGCTCTACCACCCAGGCTGGAGTGCAGTGGCGCCATCTCAGCTGACTGCAACTTCTGCCTCCTGAGTTCAAGTGATTCTCCTGCCTCAGGCTCCTGAATAGCTGGGATTACACCAACACACCCAGATAATTTTTGTATTTCAGTAGAGAAGGGGTTTCAGCATGTTGGCCAGGCTGATCTCGAACTCCTGACCTCAAATGATCTGTCTGCCTTGGCCTCCTAAAGTGTTGAGATTACGGGTGTGAGCCATCACCCCTGGCCTGGAGGCGTCGTGTCTTTCTAAAGTGACTTAGGAAGCCCTGTAGCCCTACATCCTTATCAGGGACGTCTTCCTGTCTTAGGGCACCGTGCTCTCCTGCTGTCCAAATCCCCAGAATGCAGTCCCCCAGAGGGCGAGTTCTGTTGTCATGCCCTGGCGTCCCGAGGCCGGTTGGGCAGCCGTATCTCAGGATGGAGGCCTGGTCTCAGGCGTCCAGTCTCTTTTCCCACACCTGGCTGATTTCCCTTTCTGGAGGTTCTGGGCACACACATGGCCTCTCCCCAAACCCTGACATCGAACACTTTGCCTGCACTCCCACGGGCTGGCATCTGAGACACGGCACAGATTGGGAGCTGCGGGGCTGCGGGGCTGCGGGGCTGCAGGGCTTGAGTGTTTCCCAGGGTGGGTGAGAATGGTCCAGTTACGTTGCAGACATGACCCCACCTCTCTCCCCTGTGCCGAAGCCTCCTAGGCAGGGACCCTGGGGATGGGGGTACAGGTTAGAAGGCCCCTCAACAACTCTACCTCTGGCCTGGGTCTCTGTAGGAGCCCAAGTCCTCGGGGCAGCTCATGGCTGAGTGGGGCCTGGATGACGTGGACTACCTGTTCTCGGAGGAGGACTACCACACGCTGACCAACTACAAGGCCTTCAGCCAGTTCCTCAGGTGGGCCGGGCACCAGGGCTGTTCTCAAGGTCGGCGCATCCTCTGGTGGTACCAAGTCGGGAGGGAGGTGGAGGAATGAAGCCCAGGTGTCTGTGGTAGGGGTGGGCTCTGTCAGGCCGACTCAGCAACCTGAGGGAGCTGGAGGGAGGGGGCAGGACCCCTTCATGTTCACAGACCTCCAGGCCTTCCCTTGTGGGCCCTGCCCCTGGGCCCTCGAGTCTTTTCCCATTGGGGAAGGTGGTTCCAGTCTTTCCTGGGGGGTCGTTCACCACCATGGCCTCTCAGCTCTGGTAGAGGTGGGACAGAGACCCAGAGGCCAACTGTAGCCCCTCTGTGGCCCCCCAAGTCTTGCAGGGCCTGAAAACCCGATGAGAAAATAACCAACTGTGTGGACAGGAAGCGGGGGTGTTTTGGGGGCGGGCTGTGGGTGTGGACAGGCAGCGGGGGTGTTTTGGGGGTGGGCTGTGGGTGTGGACAGGCAGCGGGGGTGTTTTGGGGGCAGACTGTGGGTGTGGACAGGCAGCGGGGTGTTTTGGGGGGGGCGGGCTGTGGGTGTGGACAGGCAGCGGGGTGTTTTGGGGGGCGGGCTGTGGGTGTGGGTGTGGACAGGAAGGGGGTGTTTTGGGGGCGGCTGTGGGTGTGGACAGGAAGTGGGGGTGTTTTGGGGGCGGGCTGTGGGTGTGGACAGGAAGCGGGGGTGTTTTGAGGGCGGGCTGTGGGTGTGGACAGGAAGCGGGGGTGTTTTGGGGGCGGGCTGTGGGTGTGGACAGGAAGCGGGGGTGTTTTGAGGGCGGGCTGTGGGTGTGGACAGGAAGCGGGGGTGTTTTGAGGGCGGGCTGTGGGTGTGGACAGGAAGCGGGGGTGTTTTGAGGGCGGGCTGTGGGTGTGGACAGGAAGCGGGGGTGTTTTGGGGGCGGGCTGTGGGTGTGGACAGGAAGCGGGGGTGTTTTGGGGGCGGGCTGTGGGTGTGGACAGGAAGCGGGGGTGTTTTGGGGGCGGGCTGTGGGTGTGGACAGGAAGCGGGGGTGTTTTGGGGGCGGGCTGTGGGTGTGGACAGGAAGCGGAGGTGTTTTGGGGGCAGGCTGTAGGTGTGGACAGGAAGCGGGGGTGTTTTGGGGGCGGGCTGTGGTCAGCGGGTTTCCCGCATAGTTTTTCTAATCAGGAACCTGGGGTTGCTGCCATAGATTGCATGCGTGGTAGAGGGGTGGGCCCTGCCGGGGCTAGGGTGGGCCTCTCATCTCACCTGGCCCTGCCCTCACTCTCCTGCCTCTCCCCCAACAGGCCACTCATTGCCAAGAAGAACCCGAAGATTCCCATGTCCAAAATGATGACCGTCCTGGGTGCCAAGTGGCGAGAGTTCAGCGCCAACAACCCCTTCAAGGGCAGCTCGGCGGCAGCAGCGGCGGCGGCAGTGGCTGCGGCTGTAGAGACAGTCACCATCTCCCCTCCGCTAGCCGTCAGCCCCCCGCAGGTGCCCCAGCCTGTGCTTATCCGCAAAGCCAAGACCAAGGAGGGCAAAGGTAAGGCTGGGGGTGAGTGGGCACCTAGTCCCGCTGGGAAGAGATCTCCCTCAGACCCTACAGGAGAAGCCACAGGGCAGACGCGGGCAGGGAGGGGCAACTGGCGTGCTCCTTATCGATGGCCCTATGCCTGTGTGACCTTGGATTGCTCGGTCCTTTCTCAGCAGTGAGGCAGCATCCCTCGCCTCTTTTGTGCCTGACTACCTTTTGGGGCTGGTGGAGAAGCAGAGGTGATGATGTGGGCTGAGGTTTGAGAGGTTTGAGCCTGGCCAGCCAGGAGGTGCCCCTGACGTGGGCCTGGAGGGAGGGCAAGAACAGAGGTACGCAGAGTGGAGCCACTCCAGCCCCGGTTTCTGGGAGTTGGCAGGCTCTTGGGTTTCAGCCTGTGCTGTTCCTGGGGAGGAGGAGGAGGCCCCAGTTGAGCCCGTCTCTCCCTCTTGTCTGCACACCCACTGTGTGCAGGGTTGTTCCAGGCCCTTGGCCAGCGTGGAGCATGGAGGCCCTGCCTCCCCAGCTTTAGGATCCGGGAAGCAGGCAGGAGTTGGAGGGACTGGGCATGGCCAGGTCTGGCTTCCCAGGAAGGCTGTTCTGGGACAGGCCTGGAAGGAGGTCGTGATCCAAATTCTGCCTCAGTGGCTGGGTGTCTGGGTGGGGAGGATGGGGGCAGCAGAGGCCCCCTGTGACTTGAAGGCCTTGGGGAGGGAGGTTTCTGGGTGGGGGTTTCTGGCCTCTTGGAGGTTGGGGACATTGATCTCCGCAGGGCTGTCAGTTACCTGCATCTCAGCTTTCCTGGGTGCCCTGATTTTTTTTTTTTTTTTTGACAGACTCTCACTCTGTCCTCCAGGCCGGAGTACAGTGGCTCGATCTCTGCTCACTGCAACCTCCGCCTTCTGGGTTCAAGCAATTTTCCTGCCTCAGCCTCCTGAGTAGCTAGGATTACAGGAGTGAGTGCACCACCACACCTGGCTAATTTTTTGTATTTTTAGTAGAGACGGGGTTTCGCCGTGTTGGCCAGGCTGGTCTCGGAACTCCTGACCTCAGGTGATCCGCCCACCTCAGCCTCCCAGAGTGCTGGGCTTGCAGGCATGAGCCACCGTGTCTAGCTGATTTGGGTTTTGATGGAAGGGGCTGAGGGGGCTCTGGGGACCCCTTCTTTCAGCCCCAAGGAGCTTTAGTTTCTGGGGTGCTGTGTCTGACACCACCGTGCCAAGTCTCTGAAGGGAGCCTGGCGGGCGAAGTGACAAGGGTCAGAGTCTGTTCCCTGTCCTGCTCTGTCTGGGCCATCAGGATCTCGGGAGGGGCTCCCGGCCCGCCCCTGTAGGCCCAGGCTGCCTTGTTTTCTCGTTTCCTCTCGGGCTCCAGCTGCTGAGCTATTGATTCCATGAGCTGCCTATTCAGAGCTTGGAAAATTGAAATAGATTTTCCATGGCGCCATGGAGGGTACAGCTGGGCTCCTAGCTCCATGTCCCTGTATGTGGTGTGGCCAGAGGAGGGCCTGGGGAGAGGCTGCCTCTGTGGGGTGTGCATCCCTGCCTCCAGGCCCCCCTTCCTTCCCGGGTCATTACTCCCCGGGTAGCTAATTGCCCTGTGGCCAGCTCCATAAAAACAGCCTCAACCCTGCTGGCCCTTGCTGGGGTTGGCTGGCAGAGGTGGGGCGGTCTTGGGTGGGACCAACATTACCTGGCTAGCAGGTGGGAAAAGGCCTTTTGGCCCCAGGACATCCTTTGGGGGCTCAGGCATGGACCACAGGTGCGTGGCTGTGCCTTCAGTGGCCCTGCTGGCTGTGGGGGATGGCTGGTGCCTCCTTTCGGTGGTTGAGGACAGTATAGGGGCTCCTCCCAAGAGAGCCACATTTCTGTGGGTCATGGACAAGGGGCAGCAGGGTGGTCAGAGCAGCCTCCGGTCAGAGCCGTCGTCTGGTTTTGCCTCATTTGCTGTGTGATTTTTTTTTTTTTTTTTTTTTTTTTGAGACGGAGTCTCGCTGTGTCGCCCAGGGTGGAGTGCAGTGGCCGGATCTCAGCTCACTGCAAGCTCTGCCTCCCGGGTTTTTACGCCATTCTCCTGCCTCAGCCTCCCGAGTAGCCGGGACTACAGGCGCCCACCACCTCGCCCGGCTAGTTTTTTGTATTTTTTAGTAGAGACGGGGTTTCACCATGTTAGCCAGGATGGTCTCGAACTCCTGACCTCGTGATCCGCCCGTCTCGGCCTCCCAAAGTGCTGGGATTACAGGCTTGAGCCACTGCGCCCGGCCTTGCTGTGTGATTTTAAGCAAGGGTTTCACCTCTCCAAGCTTCAGGCGTCTCGTCTGAAAAGGGGTGATGGTAGAAATGACCCTTTCCTTATTGTGTAACCGAGAGCTCAGTGAGATGATGGCAGGAAGCAGGCCATCAGTGGTGGCAGTGGTTGGCTATCATTACCGCTGTGTTTCAGGGCCTGGAGTGAGGAAGAAGATCAAAGGCTCCAAAGATGGGAAGAAAAAGGGCAAAGGGAAAAAGATGGCCGGGCTCAAGTTCCGCTTTGGAGGGATCAGCAACAAGAGGAAGAAAGGCTCCTCGGTAAGTATGTGCGTGTGTGCACTTGTGTGTGCGTTTGCAGCGTATGTGTCTGCATGTGAGCACACAGGGGCCAGGCGAGGGCCTTCAGTTCATTACAAACTAGCTGGGGCAGGTTGCACCCCTCCCCTACTCTCCTTCCAGTCTACGTGCAGATGTGCTGGACCTCAGTTTCTCCATTTGTGTGATGAGGGGTTTAGACTGAATCCTTCCAAGGACCCTTCTGACTTGGACTCTGGGCAGGGAGTACTCCCCTGGCTCACCCTCCTGAGCTGGGAGCTCAGTCATGGCTCCTGCTGTCTACAACTGTAGCTCCATTTGGGCAGCAGCTGGAGGAATCTGTCCTGGTGGGGCCTGGCCGCCCAGCACCCAGGTCTGCTCTCGGGGGAGTAGTTGGATGGGGCTGACCCTAGAGAAGTGGCATGTGGGCAGGATCAGACTGGCTGGAGTCCCAGTTACCTCCTCCTGTCCTCAGGGCCAGCTCTGGGCCCAGGCTCAGACGCTAAGCCCAGGTCTTACTCAACCTTGGGGCCCCCCTTTCTCTGTGAGTGTGAGGGGCATTCACCCTCGTCACCCCCATAGGTAGCTGCCTCCCTCACCTCACCCCCACCCTGCAGTGGGGTGGAGTTGGAAGCTGTTTCCCTGCCCTTTGGCAGAAGCCAGTGTCAGGTCTGGAGGGGAGCATGGAGAGAAGGTATGGCCCACCCTGGAGCTGATGGTCTAGTTCAGCTTAGCAGATATTTGTTGAGCACCTACTGTGTGCCAGGCCCTCTGCTCAGCCATGGCGGGCCATAGTCCTATAGCACTTGTCACCTGGCAGGCATGTTCGCTGGTGGAGAGTCCATGATATACCAGTCAGATGGGACAGGCCAGACCTGGCACACAGGCAGTCACAACAGGTCCAGTAAAGGAGAGATCTGGGAAGAGTCCTTGGAGGAGTTGTCCCTAGGGCTGCCCCTTGAAGGATGTTTAGGAGTTTGGCAGGATGGAGGGCAGGGCCTGGGGAGCTGTTCAGAGGTGGAAATTGTGGGAAGTGTCTGAGGCTGGAGAGCAGGGCTCTGGGTGGGTGGTGGGACATCGGGCTGGACAGGTAGGCTGTAATGTGAGGTTTTCAGCTGTGTGGGGGGCTGAGGCGAATCGCAGAGAGTACTGTGTCTCCAGAGCCTCTTCTGTGCTTTGTCCCACCCCACACTGCCCAGGCCAGCGAAGCCTTCTGGGTGAGGCCCTGGGATCACAGGACCTTGTCTTCCCCTGTAGAGTGAAGAAGATGAGAGGGAGGAGTCGGACTTCGACAGCGCCAGCATCCACAGTGCCTCCGTGCGCTCCGAGTGCTCTGCAGCCCTGGGCAAGAAGAGCAAGAGGAGGCGCAAGAAGAAGAGGAGTATGACTCCCCTTCTGGAGAGTTCTTGGCCTGCTGGGTGGATGTAGGGGGGCACTAGTAGGACTCCCCATGTGGAGGGTTCTCGGCCTGCGGGGTGGATGTGTGGGGCATGGAACCTCCCCGCGGGAAGCAGGGGAAGGGCATCCTCATGTCTTGGCCAGGTGGGGCCCCTGTGTTTCACACATGGCCCTGGTCTCTACTGTCTGGGGAGGGGTATCCTGTCCCAGTGAGGAAAGAACATGGAACCTATGGTGGGAGCCTCCCCAGGGCATTTGCATTAGCAGTGTGGTGACCGAAGAGGGAAGTGCTTCATCTCATCGCCATCCTCTATTCAGTCACCCCCCACCCACTTAACACCCATCTGTCCCCTCACCTCCCTTCCCATCCCTCCCTCTCCCTCTTTCCCTCAGTTCCTTCTTTTTATCCATCCATCCCTCATCCATCCAGCCATTCATCCATCATCCATCATCCATCCGTCAGTTATCCATCCACCATCCATCCATCCATCTATTCATTCATTCTTTTGTCCATCCATCCACCCATCCATCATCCCATCACCCATCCATCCACTTGCCCATCCATCCATCCATCCATCCATCCATCCATCCATCCATTCGTCCGTCCTTTTGTCCATCCATCCAGCCATCCATCCGTCTGTTCATCCATCCATCCCATCCATCCATCCATCCATCCATTTGTCCATCCATCCATCATCCATCCATTTGTCCATTCATCTATCATCCATCCATCCATCATCCATCCATCCATTTGTCCATCCATTATCCATTCATTTGTTCATCTATTATCCATTCATTTGTTCACCCACCATCCATCCATCCATCTACCCATCTATCCATCCATCATTCATTTGTCTACCCATCCATCCATTTGTTCATTCATCCATCCATCCATTCTTTTGCCCACCCATCCATTTGTCCATCCATCCATCCATTTGTCCATCATCCATCCATTCATGCATCCATCATCCTTCCATTTGTCCATCCATTATCCATCCATTTGTCCATCCATGCATCCATCTGTCCATCCATTTGTCCATCCATCCATCATCCATCCATTTGTCCATGCATTCATCCATCTATTTGTTTATCCATACATCCATGCATTCTTTTGTCCATTCATCCGTCTATACATCCATCCACTTGTCCATCCATCCATCCATCCATCCATTTGTCCATCCGTCATTCATCTGTTTGCCCATCCATCCACTCATTTGCCCATCCATCCATTCATCTGTCCATCCATTTGTCCATCCATCCATCCATTATCCGTCCACCTATCCATTTGTTCATCCATCCATCATCTATCCATTTGTCCATCCATTATCCATCCATTTGTTCATCCATCCATCCATCCATCCATCCATCTGTCCATTCATCATCCATCCATCCATTTGTCCATTCATCATCCATCCATTTGTCTATTCATCATTCATCATCCATCCATCCATTTGTCCATTCATCATCCATCTCTCCATCCGTCTATCCATTTGTCCATCCATCCATCTGTTCATCTATGAGTCCATCCATCCATCCATCCATTTGTCCATTCATCATCCATCGCTCCATCCATCCATTTGTTCATCTATCAGTCCATCCATCCATCCATCCATCCATCCATCCATCCATCCATCCATCTTGTTCATCCATCGTCCATCCATCCATTTGTCCATCCATTCATCCATCCATCCATTTGTCCATTCATCCATCTATCCATTCATCTTTCTACCCATCCACCCACTCTCTTACCCTTCCTTCCTTCCTTCTTTCCTTTTATCCATCTTCTATCTCCTCACCCTATTACAACCTCAACCGTCAGTCCACTCATCCACCCACCTATCCACCCACCATCTATTATGCATCTACTCTGTGCCTGTCTGGCCTGGGGCGGTGCAGTTGGTTGTGTTCTGGGAGTGCGGATGAGGCCTTCCGTGACTGCCTCTCCCCTATCTTAGTTGATGATGGTGACGGCTATGAGACAGACCACCAGGATTACTGTGAGGTGTGCCAGCAAGGTGGGGAGATCATCCTGTGCGACACCTGCCCGAGGGCCTACCATCTTGTGTGCCTGGACCCAGAGCTGGAGAAGGCTCCCGAGGGCAAGTGGAGCTGCCCCCATTGTGTAAGCCTTGGCAGAGCCCCGGGCTGGGAGCGGGGCCACGCCTGGCTCCCCCACCCCTGTGCCCTCATTTGGGGGCAGAATGCGGGGAAATGCTGTGGGGGAGGGAGGGAGTCAGGCCCTGGTGGAGCGGGGACCCCGCCCAGGGTGCCTCCACCTGGCCTCCTCCCCCAGGAGAAGGAGGGGATCCAGTGGGAGCCAAAGGACGACGACGACGAAGAGGAGGAGGGCGGCTGCGAGGAGGAGGAGGATGATCACATGGAGTTCTGCCGCGTGTGCAAGGACGGGGGCGAGCTGCTCTGCTGCGATGCCTGCCCCTCCTCCTACCACCTGCATTGCCTCAACCCGCCACTGCCCGAGATCCCAAACGGTGAATGGCTCTGCCCGCGCTGTACTGTGAGTGTTCCGCCCGCCCCGCGCCGGACGCCCCGCCCCACCCCAGGAACAGGCCCCGCCCCCAGGGGAAGGCCTGCCCTCCTCAAAAGGCCCCGCCCCTGCCGGCTCCGGACCCGCCTCGGTAGCTGATCCCGCAAAGCTCCGCCCGCGCCTCTCGAGGCCACGCCCACTCTAGCTTCCCCAAATCCCGCTCCGTGTCTGACACCCCTAGAGACGGGAGGCATGAGTGTTAGGGAAAGGCAGGCAGGTCTGTGGTGATCATGCCAATACCACGACCACTGTTCAGTGACCACGTGCTCTGCAAGGGCTCCACATCCATCATAGTATCCTTTAACATTACTGAGTATTCTGGCACCACGCATTTTGTTGTTTCCTTTTCAGATGAGAAAACTGAGGCTCAGGGAAGCAGAATGACCTGCCTAAGGCCACACAAGGGCCAAACTGTCCCTCAGATTCAGGTCCCTGGAGCCACCCCAGACCTGGCTCCTGTTCCGAGGCTGGGGATAGGGAGAGGGTAGGAGGGTCCTAGGGCCAGAGCATCAGTTTCTGCAGGAAGAGAGGCACCCCCATCCCTCATCCCCCAATCACAGTAGACATCGGAAGGCCCCTTGCTCTGAGCTGTCTGCCCTGCGCCCCGCGGTGCCAGATCCCCCACCCCTCAGGTCCTGGGCTGTGCTGCCTTTAGCCCTGGGCCGTCCCGTGTGCATGTGGGCTTGTGCTGTGTGTGTGTGTGTGTGTGCGTGCATCCGCGCGCATACTTGTCTGTGTCTGTGTCGGGGTCAGGGAAGGACCCTTTTGAGGGGTGCAGCCTCCTGTGCTTTCCTAGGATTCATGGAAGGCCCTGGGGATGGGAGGGAGGCAGGAGTGGAGTTCCTCTCAGCTTCTTCCCTGAGAAGTTGGGATGCGGTGGGAGGGTCCCCTCTTCCACTCCCCCCAGAGCCAGCGGAGGAGCCTTTCCTGCCTCCCGTGTCCTCCTCCTCCTCTGCCTCTTGGCCTTTGCTGTCACCAAGGCCAAAAGAAGGCTGGCTATGTGGTATACCTTGCACCTCTAGAATGCCTTCAGGTGTGATGTGGCACCACAAACCTGGTAGGTGGAGGAAGGGGTGGGCCATTTTACAGATGGGAAAGCAGGCTCAGTAGGCTTGGACAAGTTTCCGAGGACAGGTAGTAGCAGAGCTGGGACCTGCTGTCCCCAACAGAGCTGTCTTCCTGAATCAGTCACCCCTGACCCTGTCCAGCCAGGCTCAGCACCGCCTCCTTGGAGGGCCAAGGCTGCTCCCACCCATCTCAGGGCCCAGGTGGTGGGGTTTGTGGCGGTTGCATTTCTCGCCTTTGCCAGCCAGCAGCTCATTGTCACCGTAGCATCGGTCAGGGCCCGTGCAGTGTGTCTGTGGGCTGCCAGAAATGGGGCCTCATTGTCCCAGCCTAGATGCACAGTGCTTGGGTGCAGCCCTGCCCCAGGTGAGGGATGGTGGATTGGAGGCTGCCATGTCCCTGAGCTCCAGCACGGGGCTCATGCTCCCTGGGTGCTTGGGGGTCACACAATGATGTGACCTCTTTTCAGGGTACAATGGGAAGACCTAAGGTAGGGGAAGTCCAGAACTTCATATTCTGCTCCCTGCTCTGCTGTCCCTTGCCGAGTGGGCCTCAGTTTCCCCCTCTGTCGTGTGCATATGGCAGTCTTACCTACCCTGGCTCAGATATTCTGGGTGCCGATGAGTTTACCACTGAGTGAAAGGGCCACGTGGTCTCCCAGACCCCCATTGCCCGTCTCCTGTGTGCATGACCCATGCGGCTCCTGAGGACGGGGTGGATGTCATGGCGTCACGGTGGTGCTGTTCTGACTTGGGGACAGTGGCACTGATGGGAGGGAGCCTGCGTGGCAGCCTGCTGTCATGGGAGCCTCAGGGTGGGGCCCTGCAGCTGAGCCCCACCTTGGGGACCCTTCTCTGTCCACAGTGTCCCCCACTGAAGGGCAAAGTCCAGAGGATTCTACACTGGAGGTGGACGGAGCCCCCTGCCCCCTTCATGGTGGGGCTGCCTGGGCCTGACGTGGAGCCCAGCCTCCCTCCACCCAAGCCCCTGGAGGGCATCCCTGAGAGAGAGTTCTTTGTCAAGTGGGCAGGGCTGTCCTACTGGCACTGCTCCTGGGTGAAGGAGCTACAGGTGAGTGCCCAGCAGGGTGGCTGTGCCAAGGCTCAGGACCTGGTGAGCCCTGGACCCTCCCGGGCTGGCGGGAAGGGGCTGAAGCGCCTCTGACTGAGGGGTGCTGTTGGCAGTTGGGGTGGTGCTGGCCTGGGGCTAGGGGAGCTGGGTAGGGAGACGCAGAGGGCCATGGCTCATCCCCCTTCTGTGGCTCGTGCCCGTCTGTGAGCAGCTGGAGCTGTACCACACGGTGATGTATCGCAACTACCAAAGAAAGAATGACATGGATGAGCCGCCCCCCTTTGACTACGGCTCTGGGGATGAGGATGGCAAGAGCGAGAAGAGGAAGAACAAGGACCCCCTCTATGCCAAGATGGAGGAGCGCTTCTACCGCTATGGCATCAAGCCAGAGTGGATGATGATTCACCGAATCCTGAACCATAGGTGTGTGCCTGCAGCTGGCTACCCTCCCTGCCCATCACTGGGGCTGGGCCGCATCAGCTACTTTGCTCTGTAAAATGGTGCAGGGCAGGGCACCAGGGCCCTTGCCTTGGGGCTGCTGTGCAGGACCACATGTGGGCACAGCAGGGGCACAAGGAAGGGGCCTAGGGCTCCCAGTGCTGGAGATCTGCCTGATCTGCTGGAGGGGCCGTCCCATGCATGCCTGCACACTCATGCACACGTGTTCACACCCTTGGGGGTTCGGGACCCTCGTGCTGGGTTAGTGCTTGATACCAGCAGGAGGGGTCTGAGGATGCGGGAGGCCCGAGGTGTGGGGTATGTCCGCATTTCCCCCACGTTTGTAATAGTAGCTGGCTGTACTGAGCACCGCCTACCCTGGGAGAGACGCGTCTTTCTTTTACCTCTGTTTTACTGATGTGAGAATAGGCACAGCAAGGTTAAGTCACTTGCCAGAATCACACAGCCACGGAGTGGAGCTGGGATTTGAACCCCATGCTTTCTGACTGCAGGACCTACTTTCTCAGCCACTGTTGCACCCCCCAGTGCCCCAGCAGCAGCTCTTCCTGGAGCAGTCTGGCAATTCCCTGGGATGCCTTAGCAATCAGAGGTTGCAGGAGGCTGGGACAAAGAGCCGGAGGCAGGAGGCCCGTGGGCTTTGGTTTTGATTTGGTGGGTGATGGGAACTCCTGCCGATTCTTGAGTTTAGGGGCTTGAGAACTGGTGGTGGCTGACAGATGGGCCTTGGGGTGGGGCCCAGAGTACCTGCTGTGTGGTGGCAGCTTGGAGCTTATGCTCCCCAACCTGGCTACCCTGTGGCCTCTGCCTTTGAGGGGCTTAGGATCGGTGGCCTCTGCCACTCAGTGCTTCTGGCTTCAGGCAGCTGTTGGGTAGAGCAGAGGTTAAGAGCCTGAAATGTTCAGATTTCAGTCCTGGCTCCCAACTGCTGGGCGTTGAGGCCCTTGTAGGGAACAGACTGCTGCACAGGTGACTGGAGCTTGCCAGAGGCTGGCTGTGGGCGGTCTTCAGAAGGAGGGGCGCGGAACTTGAAAAAGCTGCCCCTTCAACTATGGGACACCCACGTTTTTCCTCTCCAGACCTTCCTGAGAATGACCTTCAAGGGTCAGTTTCTGTGGGAACCTAATTCCCGGCAATGAATTGGCCTATGGTTTTCTACCTTTACTAAAATTGCATGCTAAAAATATACATGGTAGTTTTTCTCTCTGCTCCAAAGTGGGACAGGTGAAGCTCCCCTGGATTTATTCCCCCAGTCTGCAAAACAATCAATTATGTATTGGAAAACAAACAAACATCAGTTTCTGTGGTAACTGGGGATTGGTCTTTCTCTTTATGGCCCCCAGGCCCGCAGCAGCCGCTGCCCACCGGGTCTGTGTGCCTCCTCGAGCTGCTGTGTGGGGTAGCCATGCCCCGGCCCGGCCCTGCAGCACTCCTCTGGCCTGGTTGCCTTAGCCTGGGCAGGTGGGAGGCCCTGAGGACCCTCCCAGTGGCCAGAATCAAGCTGTGTGCTGCTGGGCTTGGCCACTGGGTCCTTGTGTCCCCGGAAGAGACCACCTCACATGCAGGAATTGCGTCCTTATCTACTTTGCAGAGACGGCTCCTCACCCTACATGGCCACTGCACAAGTCCTTCCCGTATTTTAAGTTAGAAAACTGAGTCCCTTGGCAGGAAAGAGAACTTTCCAACTTAGAAATCCAGAACTCCTGTGAAAATCCAGATCCCGTGACAAATGGGATTCATGCCTGCCACAGAGGCGCACAGGATGCGGGAGGCTGGCTGGTTGCTCCTCTGTCAGCTGGCCTCCGTGTCCCTCTCTGGCTCTGCCCCGTCCCCCTCTCATTCGCTGTGTGGCCCCGGGCAAGCCGCTGCACCTCCCTGGAGCTTCTGCCCTCGTCCCCTCCTCCTGGCTGGGCCCAGCATCCGAGGCGACCCTGGGTGTGAGTGGCTCTGCATCCTGGCAGGTTCATCAAACCCGTGCTGTGACGCCCTGAGCGACCCACATCTGTTCACTGTGTTGCAGCTTTGACAAAAAGGGGGATGTGCACTACCTGATCAAGTGGAAAGACCTACCCTATGACCAGTGCACCTGGGAGATCGATGACATCGACATCCCCTACTACGACAACCTTAAGCAGGCCTACTGGGGCCACAGGTGGGCCGCAGGGATCCGGCTGCTGGGCACAGGCTGCCGGGGTCTGCTCCTGGGCTGAGCCTTGCTCACCTGCATCCTATGTCTTTTCCTAGGGAGCTGATGCTTGGGGAAGACACCAGGCTGCCCAAGAGGCTGCTCAAGAAGGGCAAGAAGCTGAGGGATGACAAGCAGGAGAAGCCGCCGGACACGCCCATTGTGGACGTGAGTTGTAGGGGGGCAGCAGTGGGTGGGGCTGCCAGGGCCTGCCCACCCCAGACTTGAATGTGCAGGGGGTGTGTGTTCTCAAAGGGACGTTTCCTTGGGCCCTCATGGCTTGTGCAGACAGTGTCATGCCCACGAGGGCTAGGACAGCTGCAAGGCCCCTCATAGCATTGCAGCTGACACACTACTTACACACCACTCTCACCTGGGAGGAGACCCAACTCACTCAGCAGAGCTCTCTGGGTGTCCACTGGCGCCTGGCCCTGGGTTGGCTCTGAGGAGACGAGGGCCAATGAGCCCTGGGCATCTGTTTCAGAAGATGCACTGTCTTCTAGGGGCCCTTGGTGGGTATCCACAGAACACAGAGGGCCTGGCCTGGGACTATCAGGCGCCTGTCAGATGCCGAGGAAAGGCAGATGAGCCTGGTCCATTGGGAGGACTGCATGGGGCCAGTGACCTTGAGCAGGATCAAGAGGCAAATGGGCTGGGCATGGTGGCTCATGCCTGTAATCCTAGCACCATGGGAGGCTGGGGTGGGAGGGCCGCTTGAACCCAGAAGTTTGAGGCAACATAGTGAGATCCCACCTCTACATAAAATTTAAAAATTAGCCAGGCATGGTGCTGTGCCTGTGGTCCCAGCTACTAGGGAGGCTGAGGTAGGAGAATCCCTTGAGTCCAGGAAATTGAGGCTGCAGTGAGCCATGATCGTGCCACTGCACTCCAGCCTGGGCAACAGAGACTCCGACTCAAAAAAAAAAAAAAAAAAAAAGGGCCGGGCGCGGTGGCTGAAGCCTGTAATCCCAGCACTTTGGGAGGCCGAGGCGGGCGGATCACAAGGTCAGGAGATCGAGACCACAGTGAAACCCCGTCTCTACTAAAAATACAAAAAATTAGCCGGGCGCGGTGGCGGGCGCCTGTAGTCCCAGCTACTCAGGAGGCTGAGGCAGGAGAATGGCGGGAACCCGGGAGGCGGAGCTTGCAGTGAGCCGAGATCGCGCCACTGCACTCCAGCCTGGGCAACAGCGTGAGACTCCGTCTCAAAAAAAAAAAAAAAAAAAAAAAGCAAATGTCAAATGCTTGGATCAAGTGGAGGAGCCAGTTATTGGGGGCATTGAGAGTGCCCCAGATAGATGTTCGTTTTGTTGTTCATCCAAAAAATAGTAAGTGACTACATGTCCCAGGCCCTGGATGGTGCTCAAGAGGAGGCAGTGAGCAGGACCAAGGTGGTGATGACAACCTGGGCTCAAAGTCAGAGAATTCAGCAGTTGGGAAATTTCCCTGATAGGGGAAGTACGGGGCTGCCATGGGAGGACACTGTGGGAGCACTTCAGCCAGGCTGGGAGTCAGGGAGGGCTTCCTAGAGGAAGAGGTATTCCATCCAAGAACCGGAGAAGAGTTACGGAGACAGACAGGAGAGGGAAGAGTGTTCCAGGCAGAAGGAATTGCATGTGCAAAGGTCTGTAGTGTGGACTCTGGTGGCCCAGGATCTGGGGCGTGTCTGAACCGCTGCCTCCCCTGCAGCCCACGGTCAAGTTCGACAAGCAGCCGTGGTACATCGACTCCACAGGCGGCACGCTGCACCCGTACCAGCTGGAGGGCCTCAACTGGCTGCGCTTCTCCTGGGCGCAGGGCACTGACACCATCCTGGCCGATGAGATGGGTCTGGGCAAGACGGTGCAGACCATCGTGTTCCTCTACTCCCTCTACAAGGAGGTGGGCAGGCGGGGCAGGTGGCCAGGAGGGGTGGCCGGTCCTGGCCGAGGGCAGCTGGTCTCACGGCATTGTCCCCTTTCTTCAGGGCCACTCCAAGGGGCCCTACCTGGTTAGTGCGCCCCTCTCCACCATCATCAACTGGGAACGCGAGTTTGAGATGTGGGCACCCGACTTCTATGTGGTCACCTACACGGGGGACAAGGAGAGCCGCTCGGTGATCCGGGAGAACGAGTTTTCCTTTGAGGACAATGCCATTCGGAGTGGGAAGAAGGTGTTCCGTATGAAGGTGAGGGCTCGCCATCCTTGGAAGGACGGTAGGAAGACCCTGGGTCTGGTTCAGGGACCACAGGTGCCCTGTCCTCCTTCGGGGTCCCTCAGCCTGGGAGGGCTACCGAGGCTGGCAGACTCCGAAGGACTTGTCCTAGAGGCTGAGTTCCCGCCATGTCAGTTTTCTGGGGCTCCTGTTAACGAAGTGTCACAGACGGGGTGGCTTCAAACAGCAGAGATGTATTCAGTCACAGTTCTGGAGGCTGGAGGTTGGAAATCAAGGGGAGGGCAGGGCGGCGTGCCTCTGAAGGCTCTAGGGGAGAATCCTCCCTTCCTCCTTCCAGCCTCCTGGTGGCGGCAGGAGTTCACTGGCCTGCAGCCGTCAAGTCAGTTTCTGCCTCTGTTAGCACATGGGGTTTTCCCCTTTGTGTCTGTTTCTCATCCTATAAAGACATCATTCATACTGGATTTAGGGCCCACCCTAATCTATTATGATCTCATCTTAGCTACTTATTTTATTTATTTATTTTTTTGAGACACTGTATCACCCAGGCTGGAGTGCAGTGGGGTGATCTCGACTCACTGCAACCTCCCCTTCCTGGGTTGAAGTGGTTCTCCCACCTCAGCCCCATGAGTAGTAGCTGGGACTCCAGGAGTGCGCCATCACGGTCGGCTAATTTTGTATTTTTTGGTGGAGACGGGTTTCACCATGTTGGCCAGGCTAGTCTTGAGCTCCTGAGCTCAAGTGATCTGCCCTTCTCGGCCTCCCAGAGTGCTGGGATTACAGGAGTGAGCCACTGTGCCTGGCCCCAGCTAATTATTATTATTATTATTATGACACGGAGTCTCATTCTGCCGCTCAGGCTGGAGTGCAGTATGGCACGATCTCAGCTCGCTGCAACCTCTGCCTCCGAGTTCAAGCAATTCCCATGCCTCAGCCTCCAGAGTAGCTTGGATTGCAGGCATATGCCACAATGCCTAGCGAATTTTTTGTATTTTAGTAGAGACGGGGTTTCACCATGTTGCCCAGGCTGGTCTCGAACTCCTAAGCTCAGGCAATCTGCCTGCCTTGGCCTCCCAAATTGTTAAGATTACAAGTGCGAGCCACCATGCTCAGCCTATTATTATTATTATTATTATTTTGAGACAGGGTCTCACTCTGTCACCCAGGCTAGAGTGCCGTGATGTGATCATAGCTCACTGCAGCCTTGACCTCCAGGATCTGGGACTACAGGGACACACCACCACACCCAGCTAACTTTTACATTTTTTGTAGAGATGGGGTCTCCCTTATGTTGCTCAGGCTGGTCTGGTACTCCTGGGCTCAAGCGATCCTCCTGCCTCAGCCTCGCAAAGCATGGAGATTATAGGCATTGAGCCACCATGCCCAGACAACTAATTATGTCTGCAAAGACCCTATTTCCAAAAGAGCTTCTGGGTGGACATGAACGCTGGGGGGGACACTATTCAATGCAGTGCACCAGCTGTGTGACTTCGGGCAAGTCACATGGCCTCTCTGGGCCTCAGTGTTTTCTCAGCAAAATGGAGTTAACAGACACACACCCCACAGAGTCAAGTGAGTTAATAATCACGAGGTCTCATGGTGCCGTGAACCCTACGAGGTCTTGTTAAAGCACAGTCTCTGACCCAGCAGTGCTGGGGTGGGGCCCGAGTCTCTGCATTTCATTTTTTCTTTTCTTTTTTTTTTTTGAGACAGAGTTTCACTCTCGTTGCCCAGGCTGGAGTGCAATGGCACAATCTTGGCTCACCACAACCTCCGCCTCCCAGGTTCAAGCAATTCTCCTGCCTCAGCCTCCCTGGTAGCTGGGATTATAGGCATGTGCCACCATGCCCAGCTAATTTTGTATTTTTAGTAGAGACGGGGTTTCTCCATGTTGGTCAGGCTGGTCTCGAACTCCCGACCTCAGGTGATCCACTCGCCTCGGCCTCCCAAAGTGCTGGGATTATAGGCGTGAGCCACCACGCCCGGCCTTTTTTTTTTTTTTTTTTTTTGAGACCGAGTCTCGCTGTGTCGCCCAGGCTGGAGTGCAGTGGCGCGATCTCGGCTCACTGCAAGCTCCGTCTCCCGGGTTCACGCCATTCTCCCGCCTCAGCCTCCGAGTACCTGGGACTACAGGCGCCCGCCACCACACCCGGCTAGTTTTTTGTATTTTTAGTAGAGACGGGGTTTCACCATGTTAGCCAGGATGGTCTCGATCTCCTGACCTTGTGATCCACCTGCCTCGGCCTCCCAAAGTGCTGGGATTACAGGCTTGAGCCACCGTGCCGGGCCTGCATTTCTTTTTCTTTTTTTTTTTTTTGAGATGGAGTCTCACTCCGTCACCAGGCTGGAGTGCAGTGGTGCGATCTCGGCTCACTGCAACCTCTGCCTCCCAGGTTCAAGCGATTCACCTGCCTCAGCCTCCCGAGTAGCTGGGACTACAGGTGTATCCCACCACACTCAGCCGCTTTTTGTATTTTTAGTAGAGACCGGGTTTCACATGTTGGCCAGGATGGTCTTGATCTCTTGACCTCATGATCTGCCTGCCTCAGCCTCCCAAAGTGCTGGGATTACAGGTGTGAGCTACCACGCCCGGCCCAGCCTCTGCATCTGTAAACACTCTCCACATTGAGGAGCGAGGACTTGCAGCCATTGGCCCCTAGAAAATGTCAGTGCTACAGCCTTGTTGGCTGGCGGATCCTCCCACATGCCCTCCGAGTCCCTTATGTCGGCCTCCTCCACTGTCTGCTGGCAGCTGTGGCTCTTAGAGATGCTCATAAACTGTTGAATGAGTGAATGAATCAATGATCCCACAGGTGACTTTGTAGATGGATTAGCCCCTGGTCATTAGACACAAAAAGAACCTCCCCTGAGCCATGCTGGGACCCTGCTGTGTGCCAGGCACTTTGCTGATTTGGCTCTTCGATTATATTTACTGTTTAATTATTTTATTGTTAAAAGTTGTGGTAAAATACACATAATGTAAAACTTACCATCCTAACCATTTTTAAGAGTACAGTTCAGCTGGGCATGGTGGTGTGCACCTGTGGTCCTAGCTACTTGGGAGGCTGAGGCAGGAGGATTGCCTGAGCCCAGGAGTTCGAGGCTGGAGTGCGCCATGATTGTGTCTGTGAACAGCTGTTGCACTCTTTCGTGGACAACATAGTGAGACTCTGTCTCTTAAAAAAAACCAAAAAACAAAAAACAGCCAGGCACGGTGGCTCACGCCTGTGATCCCAGCACTTTGGGAGGCCAAGGCGGATGGATCACCTGTTTGGTCAGGAGTTTGAGACTAGCCTGGCCAACACGGTGAAACCCCATCTCTACTAAAAATACAAAAATTAGCCAGGCATGCTGGTGCACACCTGTAATCCCAGCTACTCAGGAGGCTGAGGCAGGAGAATTGCTTGAACCTGGGAGGCAGAGGTTGCAGTGAGCCGAGGTCGCGCCATTGCACTCCATCCTGGGCGACAAGAGCTAAATTCTATCTCAACAACAGCAACAACCAACCAAAAAAAAAAACCAGTTCAATAGTGTTAAGTACATTCACATTGTTATGCAACCAATCTCCAGCACTCTTTTCATCTTGTAGGAAGGAAACTGTGTCCCCATTAAACATGAACATCCCCACCACCTCCAGCCTCCGGCAGCCACCAGTTTACTGTCTGTCTGCACGAGGTTCACTACTCTGGGTACTCCATATAAGTAGAATTGGGAAGCATCTGTCGTTTTGTGACTGGCTCATTTCACTGAGCAGAATGTTCTTGAGGTTCATGCATGTTGTAGCACGGGTCAGAATTTCCTTCCAAGGCTGGAGAACATCCCATCACGTGGATAGACCACGTTTTGTTGATCTGTTCATCTGGTGATGGGCACTTGAGTTGCTTCTGGCTTTTAGTGATCGTCTAGGAATATGGGTGTGCAAATACCCCTTTGGGTCCCCGCTGTCACTTCTTTTGGGTATACCCCCAGAAGTGGAACTGCCGGATCATATGGTAATTCTATTTTTGATTTTTTGAGGAACAGACTTAGCTCTTTGAGTTCTCATAGCATTCTTCACCTAGATAGGCGAGGAGACCGAGGCTAAAAGATTGTGTGTAAACCCAGGTGCCATGTGTGGGCAAAGCCTGTGCTGCACAGCATCCTTGGCCCTCTCTGCTCTATCACAGGCATGTGGGCTGCTGGGAGAGGCAGGTTTGGTGCAGGACAGGACAGGCCTGCTTCACTGGGTGGGGGGGGGCCCAATGCAAAATGAAAATGCAGGGCTCGCAGGCAAACAGCTTTTTGCTTTTTTCTGTGGTCTCTCTGTCAACATGCCAAGGTATTTTACATTTGTTTTCTTTTTTTCTTTTTTTTCTTTTGGAGACAGAGTCTCACTCTGTCACCCAGGCTAGAGTGCAGTGGTGTGATCTCGACTCACTGCAACCTCTGCCTCCTGGGTTCAAGTGATTCTCCTGCCTAAATTTGCATTTTAAAGTCGTGTTCCTTCAGGTGTGAGGATCCTCACCGGGAGAGTGCAGACCCTCACAGGCACCAGGCTCTGTCCTGGAACTTGGTGCATAAACCGTGTGCCTGGCTTCCCCTCCCCACCAGCACCCAGGCCCAGGCCCCCACCAGGGGGAGTAGGGGGACAGCGGTCACCAGGCAGGGGCAGGGGAGCAGGGGAATGAGAACCTGTCCCAGGGAGGCTCCACGTCTCCAGCATACACTCCACTGTCCCCTGGGATATTTGTTACAAAACACAAATTCAACAATAATTTGAAATTAATAATTTCAAATCAGCAACCTCAGGGCATTAAACCCCAAGTGCAGGGTCCGTTTCTCTGTTCATGTCTTGGCTCTGCCATTTATTAGCCACAGGGACTTGGGAGAGTGCTCCAGCCTGAGGCCCCGTGAGCTTTAAATGGGGATAAAAGGCCAGGTGCGGTGACTCATGCCTGTATTCCCAGTACATTGGGAGACTGAGGCAGGAGAATTGCTTGAGGCCAGGAGTTTGAAACCAGCCTGGTTAACATAGTGAGATCTCCTCTCTCCAAAAAACAAAAATAACCGTGGGGGCAGTGGGGGATAAAGGACACAGTTGAGCTCATGTTTTGTTCGGATGAGGTGAGAGTGGACAGGAAGAGTAATAAGCCCGGAGCCAGGGCTGGTTGAGGTGGCTCATGCCTGTAATCCCAACGCTTTGGGAGGTCGAGGCGGGCAGTTCACTTGAGTTCAGAAGTTTGAGACCAGCTTCGGCAACATGGTGAAACCCTGTCTCTACAAAAATGCAAAAATTAGCTGGGTGTGGTAATGCGTGCCTGTGGTCCCAGCTACCTGGGAGGCTGAGGTGGGAGGATTGCTGGAGCCACCTCACCTGGGAGGTGGAGGTTGCAGTGAGCTGTGATCGTGCCACTGCACTCCAGGCTGGGGGATGAGAGTAAGACCCTGTCTCACTGGTGTTGTTACGAGTGGAGGCCGTTTCTTCTCGTTCACACCACCCTCAGGGCTGTGCTCTGGGCCTCAGTTGATGCCCCTCTGCTTGGTGGCCAGCATCTGCCCCTCTGGTGCTAGGCTGGCCGGCCCAGAGCTCCCTGGAGCCTTTGTGTGTTCCTGTGCACACCTCCTTGGCTCTTTGTCTCCTGGGACTGTGATCCGCTCTGCTCCCAGCTGTCTCCTCCCCAATGCCCCTCTTTTCTCCAGAAAGAAGTGCAGATCAAATTCCATGTGCTGCTCACCTCCTATGAGCTCATCACCATCGACCAGGCCATCCTGGGCTCCATTGAGTGGGCCTGCCTGGTGGTAGATGAGGCCCACCGCCTCAAGAACAACCAGTCCAAGGTAGGTGGCGCCGGCCGCCAGACCCCAGAGCTGCCCAGGGCGAGGGGCCGCCCAGAGCCCCCTGATGGGCCCCCCTCTCCTCCCCTCAGTTTTTTAGGGTCTTAAACAGCTACAAGATTGATTACAAGCTGCTGCTGACGGGGACTCCCCTGCAGAACAACCTGGAGGAGCTGTTCCATCTCCTCAACTTCCTCACTCCAGAGAGGTTCAAGTGAGTCACCTGGATCCGGCCAGGGAGGTGGTGGTGGGGCTGGGGTGGCCCCAGTGAAGACAGATCAGTAGCCCATCCTGGCTGTGAGACCTGCTCAGCCGTTCCTTCCTCATCAGTAAAAAGGGAGTGTTAGCGACGTCCCCGCTTTGACCTCCCGCAGAAGCAGGGTGTTGGGGTGGGTGGCGTGGGTACACGGGAGTGTTTGGTAAATATCAACCGCTGCTAATTCCACGACTTCCTTAGCTCTGCCCTAGACCACCCAAGGCTCCTCCTGGACTACTGTCCCTGCCTGCACTCCCCTGGCAGGTTCCTTTCCCTCTGCTGAGACCCCAGTGACTCACATGGGCAACCGTGGTGGAGGCAGAGGCAAGCTCCCAGGTGGCCGGAACCCACTGCCCCAGCCTCCTCATCTTCACCTACCTCCACTTGCCTGCTCAGAATGGGGCGTTCAGGGTGCAGAGTGTCGATTGTGGAATCAGGAGATGTAGTTTTTTTTTTTTTTTTAAGAAACAGTCTCACTCTTGTCGCCCAGGCCAGAGTGCAGTGGCTTGATTTCAGTTCACTGCAACCTCCACCTCCTGGGTTCAAGCTATTCTCCTGACTCAGCCTCCCGAGTAGCTAGGATTACAGGCATGTGTCACCATGCCCAACTAATTTTTGTGTATTTTTAGTAGAGATGGGGTTTCACCATATTGGCCAGGCTGGTCTTGAACTCCCGACCTCAGGTGATCCGCCCATCTCGGCCTCCCAAAGTGTTGGGATTACAGGCGTGAGCCACCAGGAGATGTAGATTTGAGGGCAGGTTTTGGCAAAGCTGGACTGTATCAACTTGGGCACTCATCAGACTCAGTTTCCTCATCTATTATCTGGGTAATAGAGAGCTCCTGTCCTGGACGGTTTTGAGGATGGAAAGGTGTCCAGTGTGGCTGAGGAAAAGAGGGCTGTGATGTGTAGAGGTGACAAGGCTTAGAAATTGAGATGATACCTGGGGCAATGCCAGGGCTCCCTGGTTCACCAGCCAGCCAGCCTACATGGGCTGGGCGCTCTGCACCCTGCCTCCCCTGCCCCGGTCCTCTGCTCCTGGCTGTTATCCTAGCTTTTTGTTGCAGCAACCTGGAGGGCTTCCTGGAGGAGTTTGCTGACATCTCCAAGGAAGACCAGATCAAGAAGCTACATGACCTGCTGGGGCCGCACATGCTCAGGCGGCTCAAGGCTGACGTGTTCAAGAACATGCCAGCCAAGACCGAGCTCATCGTCCGGGTGGAGCTGAGTCAGATGCAGAAGTGAGTGGTGGGCTGAGCCCGGAGCAGCCTGTGCACGCCTTTTCCCCTGGGCTGCTCTCCTGGGTCGCTTCCCAGGTGGGTGGAGGGATCTTCAGTCTCACTGAGGCCTGGGCTCGTGCTTTGCATACACTTTCTTCGTGGGGCCTCTTCTCAGGTTTTAGTGACCAGCATTTGGGCCACCTGAGTGCTAGCAGTGTCCCCCAGTCACTTACAGGGGGACTCCAGGCTGGTGGCTTCACCTCTTGGGGGTCCCTTGGGTCTCTCTGTAAATGGGTGCTTGGCCACCAGCTTCCAGCCCCACTGCAGAGCAGAGAGAGCCCTCTCGGAGGTGGGTCTGACCCAACCTGCCTTTCCTCGTGCCCTGCTGCAGGAAGTACTACAAGTTCATCCTCACGCGGAACTTTGAGGCGCTGAACTCCAAGGGGGGCGGGAACCAAGTATCGCTGCTCAATATCATGATGGACCTGAAGAAGTGCTGCAACCACCCCTACCTCTTCCCTGTGGCTGCTGTGGTAGGTTTCCCTGGCCATCATGGCAGCTTCTCTATGGCTGCCGTGGTAGGTGCCTGTGGCCGCCATAGTGGGTGCCTGTGGCTGCTGTGGTAGGTTCCCCTGGCCATTGTGGCGATGCTGTCATGGTAGGTTTCCCTGGCCATCATGGAAGGTTGCCTGTGGCCACTCTGGTAGGTGCTGGGGAACTTAACGTGGAACCCGCTGCTGTGGTAGGGCTGGCACAGCTGTGAGCCCTGCCTGGGAACAGGGGGCCTGGAGCCAGGGCCATGGGACCCACGGTCTGCCCCGCACTGTGGAGCCTGGCTCGGGTGTGGGCCTTATGTTCAGCAGGCAGACAGGCCATCACCCCATTGCTCGGCACTTGCCTGTTCCCTGCGGCCCCTTTGGTGCAGTCAGAGAGGGGAGCCCGCCAACGCCCCACCTCCTGCTGTGTCTGCAGGAGGCCCCTGTCTTGCCCAATGGCTCCTACGATGGAAGCTCCCTGGTGAAGTCTTCAGGGAAGCTCATGCTGCTGCAGAAGATGCTGAAGAAACTGCGGGACGAGGGGCACCGTGTGCTCATCTTCTCCCAGGTGCGCTGCCCCTGCCCAGCCCCGCCGCAGCTCCACACCCCACAGAGAGCATCCTGCCCTGATGCTTGGGGGCACAAACTTGCTGGCACCCTTCAGGACCCAGTGCCGTTCCCATGGGGGTCACGTGACTGTGTGTCAGGGGTCACGCTCCCGTGCTCTGGCATGATGCAGCTGAGGAGCTCAGAGCACAGTTGCCATAAAGAGCAGCATCTACCCGCACCTGCCCTTCTGGTCTGCATGTCCAGGCTGGTAGACAGCCCCCTCGTCCCCTGCAGCTTGGTTTCTCATTAAGGTGGGGCCTTGGGGTACGGTTGGGAGGAACTTCTCTCTCCAATAGGCCCTGAGGGGCTACTGGCACCTGGCTTGTTGGCTTGGAGGCAGGGCTGCCGGCTCAGGTGTGTTCATTTCTTTCTGCATCCCTTTGTTTGCGTCTGTCATAGTCAGGCTCTGTGCTGGCACATGGTGCAGGGACCAGTGATCTAGTCCCTGTCCTCAAGCTGCTCAGTCTACTGTGGGAGACAGCTCAAGGGACAGGTACCTGACCCTGTGGTCAGCTCTGTGTTGGAGGCCACAGTGATGATCCTACAGGGTCATGGGGCTAAAAATGCTCCTCTTCTGGGCCGACTGAGCCAGGCCCCTTGCTCAAACCCAGAGTCTGGGCTATGGCTCCTTGTGCACAAACATCAACTGGAAGCAGCGTCCGCCGCCTGCAGCCCCAGGTCACCCTGCTGGGCTGCTTCAGCGCGAAGAATACTGGAAAGCAGGGCAAGTTTGAGACCAGCGGCCGAGCCGAGGAGTGGCTAGAGTGGAGATGGATCCACACCCCCCAGTACCTCGGTACGAACACGAGACGCAAGTCTGGTCAGAGGCCTTGAGATACCCAATAATGGGAACCACACAGCTTCCAGAAATGTGCACGCGGGGCAAGCGGCAGAGACGGGACCCTCCTGCCCAAAATGAGCCTATGAACCCCAATTCCACACCCATACAAAAGTGAATGCCAAGACATCCCCCAAAGCAATAAATAGAATCCAAGTAAGAAAATAGGGGCTGGGGCCGGGCGCGGTGGCTCATGCCTGTAATCCCAGCACTTTGGGAGGCCGAGACGGGCGGATCACGAGGTCAGGAGATCGAGACCATCCTGGCTGACACGGTGAAACCCCGTCTCTACTAAAAATACAAAAAAAAAAAAAAAAATTAGCTGGGTGCAGTAGCAGGCACCTGTAGTCCCAGCTACACGGGAGGCTGAGGCAGGAGAATGGCGTGAATCCGGGAGGCGGAGCTTGCAGTGAGCAGAGATCCGACCACTGCACTCCAGCCTGGGTGACAGAGCGAGACTCTGTCTCAAAAAAAAAAAAAAAAAGAAAATAGGGGCTGAGTGCAGTGGCTCACCCTGTAATCCCAGCGACTTGGGAGGTTGAGGCAGGAGGATTGCTTGAGCCCAGGAGTTGAAGGTTGCAGTGAGCTATGATCTTGTCACTTCAGTCCAGTCTGAGGGACAGAGCAAGACCCTGTCTCTTGAGAGAGAGAGAGAGAGAGAGAGAATAGGATAGCCTGAAAAGACTTTATGTAGATGTGTTTAGTATCCTCAAAAATGATGAAGTAATTGACACCCTAAAATAAAGAAGAAATTAAGCAAAAGCAGGAAGAACTGAAATAGGAACAACTGGATAGAAACATGCATGAAATTGAGATAAAACATTTCAACAGACTGGACAGCCTCTGAACACTGTTGAAGAGAACTTATTGATGAATTGGAACCTGGTGCTGAGGCATTTCCCCAGAATGCAGTGTACAGAGACAAAGATAAAACAGAGAGAACATGGAAGACACCTTGAGATGCTCCAACAATCATCCAATTGGAGTTGCAGAAAAAAGAGAAAAAATGGTGAAGAAGCTGGATTTGTTGAGAGTTTGCAGACCTGGAGAGAGATGTGAGGTCTCAGATCTGGAGTGCATTCTGGAGTACCAAACAAGATAAATAGAAATAAATGAACCCTTAGACACTTTAGAACCCCTAGGTACTTTAGACCTAGTACCTACGAAATAAGGGCAACCAGATCGTTCTCCGTCGTCTTAACAACAACAGGTGGCAGGGACCGTGGCAAAATCTCCAGTGCACTGAGGGAAAATGTGTGCTGATAGTTTTATATCCAGCTAAACTCTCTCTCTCTCGAGAATAAGGGGAATTACACGGGGTCATGGGAGCTTAGAAGGGACTGCCTTTCTTTTCTCATGGGGAGGAGTGAAATCAGGGAAGACATCACAGAGGTGATGTTTGTGTTCCCTAGGCAGGAGGGGGGTGGGTATTCCAGAAAGAGAGTCAGGTAGTTTGGAATGGCTGGGGGCTGTGAAGGAGCACTAGTCCAGCAGAGCCTCGAATACAGGGCGAGAAGATGGAACTTCATTCTGTGTGGTGGGAGCAGGGGAGGCTCGTGTCAGAGCCCTGATTTAGGCAAGTGGCTGCGGGGCTGGGCAGGAGGATGGATTAGCTCCGCGGGGTGAAGTTGGAAGCTTCGTTCTTCCCCAGAGTCCTGCGTTGGGCCTGCCTGGGACCCAGCTGAGTCCCCACCTAGCAGGCGGCTCTCTCCCTCCCCTGGCTGTGGCAGGGTCCCTGCCCATGGCCCATGGGGCCCCTTGCTCCTTGGCAGTTCCTCACGTGCCCGTCTCACCTGCAGATGACCAAGATGCTGGACCTCCTGGAGGACTTCCTGGAGTACGAAGGCTACAAGTATGAGAGGATTGATGGTGGCATCACCGGGGGCCTCCGACAGGAGGCGATCGACAGATTCAACGGTAACCCCATCCCGCCCAAGGGTTCTGATTGAGACCCCTTTTTGGCCTCTTCTCCCAGGCCTGCTTCTTAGCCAGGCCACCCAGCCAATGGTGTGTAAGCAGAGCCACGAACAGCTGAAGACAGCAGGCCAGTCCCAGGCCTCGGCAGCTTCCCCTGAGCTTCCAGTGTTAAAAGGATTCCTCCCATGGAATCGGAGTTCTGAGGGGCCCAGCAGATAACACCTGCTGGGAATGGAGTTAGACAATGAGAAAGGCAGACGGGGGCCTCTAATATTGACACCAGGTAAGGCCCAGTTACAAGTGGTGTTGGACAGAGCCTGCCGTATGGCAAATGGTGGCAGGAGATACAGAGATGCATGTGCTACCTGGGGCCACTTCCAGAGGCAGGAGAGAGTGAAACGGCCGGGCCACACACGATCAGGTTCTTCCCCCAGAGTCACCCATGCTCGGTGTTCCCTGGCTGGGAAGGAGAGACGAGGGCAGAGGCGAGGAGGGTCTTGCCAGTGGAGCTTCTCCTGTAGCAAAGGAAACTTCTAGAGTGGGAAGCAGTCAGCTGCACGCTTCAGTAGCTAGTTTGCAGCAAATAGTAACAAGCTTTGTTTCCCTGGGGCATCAGCCCTTAGAAAGGGGCTGGGCCATGCTCTCCAAACGCCCGAAGCAGTGATTCCTTTTGCACACTCGTGCCAGAGAGCCAGGAGGAATAGCAAGTTCAGAGTTTCCGGGTCTAGACGTGGCCCAGCCACATGTGGAAGCAGGAGTGGCTGAAGCCCTGGGTGTGCCGGGGGCCTGTTTGCAGCTCCAGTGGGGGCTGTGGTCAGTCCCAGGTCACTGCAGGGCCCCGAGAGGCTGAGAACCTGCCATCCTGTGACAGGGTTGCCCAGTGGGGTGGGACCCCAGGCCCCGGAGCTGTGCCCCTGAGTTTTCCCGGGCTGCCCTGGCAGCATAGGTGGGCTAAGGGAAGCCAGGGGTGGGAAGCTGGGGGGACATGGAGGACTGAGCTCTCTGGGCTCTGCTTGTACTTTGCTGGCGGCTTGCACTTTGTTTTTTGCTCATCTGGGCTTTGAAAATTGACCTCCTCGTTCCAGTGACCTCCCACTGGGCCAGGGCTCAGAGCATGCTGGGGGCTAAGTGGGCTTGGGCAGGCCTCCCCTCTGGCTCCCCTGAGTGCAGCTATGGCCACCTGTCTCTGATGGAGTCTCCGGCTTTGTCCTTCTCTGCCAGGGACCTGTTGCTGCAGTTCCTTCCCTCTGTTCTCCCCACCTCCTTTCTGCCACGCCCGTCTCCCCGCCCAAGGTACACCCCCACAAACACCCCCATCTGCTGGCCTCTCTTTTTCAGCCCCCGGGGCCCAGCAATTCTGCTTCCTCCTTTCAACCCGGGCAGGCGGCCTGGGCATCAACCTGGCCACAGCCGACACTGTCATCATCTACGACTCGGACTGGAACCCGCACAATGACATCCAGGTCTGTGCCGCTGCCACCCGTCACCCTCCCAGGGGGCCTCTCATCCTGGGCCTCAGGCAGGTTCTGTCCTTCATGCCCTTCTGGCCATGGCCCCCTCACCTACCCTGCTGCTGTGGGCCTCCGTCCCCTATGGAGTCTCGGCCCCAAGACGGGCCCTGGGAGTGAGTGGAAGCTCATCCCTCTAGCTCCGTCCTTGTCCAGAGGAGGAAGCAGGCTTGGAGAGGGCAGGGAGAAGGCAGGGGAAGTGTCCCGGGGCACACAGCAGTTCGTCGGGGCCTCTGATCTAGTCTTTCCCATGCTCAGGACCAAGGAGGGAGGCAGGAAGAGGGAGCCCTGGGACCCAGAGGGGCACCCATTTTGGAGGGGGCGGGGAGCAGAGAGTGGGGCCTGTGGGAGGTGAGTAGGGGAGGATGAGATAGTGCAGGGGGCAGATGGGGCTGATAAGGAAGGATGGAAGGGCTGCGGGGGGAGGGGCTATGGGAATAGAGCCACCCTCGTGTCCCTGGCCACCCCTCTCGGGCCCTGGGACACACACATCGAACGCTTACAAATGTAGGGGAACACATACAAATTGATGTCTCTCATTCATGAGTGTGTGCGCCCATGCACACAGATACACACGGCCACACCCAGGTCACCTCCTGCAGGGCCGCACAGAGGCACTTCCTTGTATGATATTGGGCAGATTCAGCTCCTTGCTGCCCTCAGAAGGTGGCTGCGCGCCTCCAGCACATGGTCTTGTGGTCCCATTAGTGGTTTGCTCACAGGGAAATGCAGCCTCCTCCTACCTCCCCATGGCCCCCATGAAGCTCTGTGTAGCTTCAGTTACACTCAGCACACTGGCCGTGTCATCCCTCCCACACTCTTGCACACCTGCAGTCCTGCCTGCTTCCACTGGCTGGGAGTTTTTCCACTCCAAACCCAGCCTGGCACCCAGGCTCGTGGGAGGCTCCGCAGTCAGGGAGGGAGCCCAGCTGCAGGGGTGCACGCACCACATGCCTTTGCCTACACAGTCATGCACCCCATTCCATGCTCTTGAGCTCATTGGTGTGAACCCTTCCATTGCCTGGAGCCCTGGGTGAGCCACGGGTGCTGAGGTGCAGGTCTCCCCAGGCCTTCAGCCGCGCCCACCGCATCGGCCAGAACAAGAAGGTGATGATCTACCGCTTCGTGACTCGGGCCTCAGTGGAGGAGCGCATTACGCAGGTGGCCAAGCGCAAGATGATGCTCACCCACCTGGTGGTGCGACCTGGTCTCGGCTCCAAGTCGGGGTCCATGACCAAGCAGGAGCTGGATGACATTCTCAAGTTCGGCACAGAGGAGCTCTTCAAAGACGACGTGGAGGGTGGGCCTCTGTTCCGAGGGAGCATGGCGGGGCCTGGGGTGGTCCCACTGAGACACCCATCCAGGGCTTGCTGGGGTCCCTGCCCGCTCCAACACACAGCCTCTCTCCTGCACCCCCAACCTGTGTCTGCTGGCCAGGACAGCCCAGGGTGGTGTCTGCCCGTCAACCCTGCAGCCATCTGTGCTCCTGCAGCCGTCTGTGCTCCTGCACCAGTGCTCTCCTCCTCTGTCTGACAGGCATGATGTCTCAGGGCCAGAGGCCGGTCACACCCATCCCTGATGTCCAGTCCTCCAAAGGGGGGAACTTGGCTGCCAGTGCAAAGAAGAAGCACGGTAGCACCCCACCAGGTAGGGGTCAACCCAGCCTAGTCTCAGCTCCTCCTGCGGCCAGGTGGCTGCTCCTGCAGAGGAGGGGTTCCTCGACCCACCCTCATTTGAGTGTCCTGGGACTGCCGGGTGGACGGGGAGCGGAGCTGTGACAGCGCGGTTTCCTCTGTCTGGTCACCACGCCTCTCAGCTGCAGCCCCTGGTGGGGATGGGAAGGGCCATTGTTCGGAGTCTGTTCCCGGGTCCCCGGGGCTGGATCAGGGCAGTCTTTGTCCCCACACTGCACTTGCCTGCTCCCCAGGTGACAACAAGGACGTGGAGGACAGCAGTGTGATCCACTATGACGATGCAGCCATCTCCAAGCTGCTGGACCGGAACCAGGACGCTACAGACGACACGGAGCTACAGAACATGAACGAGTACCTGAGCTCCTTCAAGGTGGCGCAGTACGTGGTGCGCGAGGAGGACGGCGTGGTAAGGTCCCAGCCTGCCCTCCTTCCGCAGCCCCGCCCTCCACTGTGCCCACGCCTTCCACTGTGACCCCGCCCTCCTGCCACAGCCAGCCCCCCAAGCTGTGACCCTGCCCTCCAGCCTCAGCCCCCTCCTCCAGCCGCAGCCCCGCCCTCCCTGCTATGACCCCGCACTCCAGCCTCAGCGCCCCCTCCAGCCGCAGCCCTGCCCTCCCTGCTGTGACCCCGCACTCCAGCGTGTGCTCCGCTCTCCAGCCACGTGCTCAGCCGTCCCCGCAGGGGCCCTGTCGCCCCAACCGTGGGCTCAGGACTAGGCATAGCAGTGAGGGAAGGGACGGAGGCAGTGTTGAGGGCAGTACAACTACATGGACTGGCCACTGCCCTTGCACACATCAGCCGCCTGCTCCGTGGCATCATCCCGGGTCCAGTCCAGCTTCCCCACTCTCTGAAGTGCAAGCTGATCTGCCACCCCGTTGCACAGAGCCCTGTGCCCAGAGTCTGGTTTCAGTCCCTACCCGGCTGCACCCTCCCAGCCCTTCCTCAGGGCCTGCATCTCAGCTCTGCACCTGGACTGCCAACATTCCAGAACGCCCTACACTTTTCTTTTTTTTTTTTCCTGAAATGGAGTCTCGCTCTGTCGCCCAGGCTGGAGTGCAGTGGCACAATATCGGCTCACTGCAACCAACGCCTCCCAGGTTTAAGTGATTCTCGTGCCTCAGCCTCACAAGTAGCTGGGATTACTGGTGTGCACCACCACAACCGTCTAATTTTTGTGTTTTTAGTAGAGACAGGACTTCGCCATGTTGGCCAGGCTGGTGTCGAACTCCTGACCTCAGGTGATCCACCTGCCTCGGCCTCCCAAAGTTCTGGGATTACAGGAATGAGCCACCATGCCTGGTCTGCCCCATGCTTTTCTCCCTTCTCTACTAGGCAAAGCCCATCTGTCCCCAAGGGGCTCCTTGTGGGTCTGTCCTGGGGGCCTTTCCTTTTCCTCCTCTGCTCCCCAGCCCTCTGCAGACCCAGTGAGCCCATGACCTTTCCCTTTGAAACCAGCAGCCTCCTGAGGGCAGGCACGGGAGCTTATTCAACTCAGTACCCCTGTCCTTGGCCCGAGGCCAGGAAATACTTGCTTTGTGAATGGATGAATGAATAAATGATTGACTGGATAGGGGCAGGGAGAGGAAGGTCAGCTAGGGCTGGGGTGATCAGAGAAGGCTTCCTGGAGTAGGCAGGCCATCCCATTAATCCTTGAGCCCCAAGCGGGCAAAGGGCAGGTCAGGTGGAGGCAGCCTGAGGCTTCCGGGAGGGCAGAGATGGCCGCTCCTATGGAGCCTGTGGTGCTGGCTTCCCCAGGAGGAGGTGGAGCGGGAAATCATCAAGCAGGAGGAGAATGTGGACCCCGACTACTGGGAGAAGCTGCTGCGGCACCACTACGAGCAGCAGCAGGAGGACCTGGCCCGCAACCTGGGCAAGGGCAAGCGCATCCGCAAGCAGGTCAACTACAACGACGCCTCCCAGGAGGACCAGGGTGCGTGCCCGGACGGAGGGACTGGTGCCCCTCGCCCAGAGGTGGAGGGTAGGGCAGGATTCTGTCAGGGCATCCCTGTGCAGAACCCCCGGGAGGTGCGGGCCGGGAGAGCTGGGCGAGTGTGGCAGGAGGGATGGTGCCCCATACCCAGAGGCGGAGGGCGGGGCAGGATTCTGTCGGGGCATCCCTGTGCAGGACACCCCCGGAGGTGTGGGCCAGGAACGCTGGGCGGCGCTGGTTGGAGCTGGGAGGCAGCTTTTTGGAGGAAAGGGGACTGGGGGCAGGTGCAGAGGTGTTGGGTGTTTGGGGGAACAAGGTGTGGCATCAGTTCAGTGACTTCACCGCTGCCCGTGACGTGGCCTTGGGCAAGCCCCATGTCCACAGAACAGTGCAGTACGTGTAATGTGTGGGTACACATAACCCTTAGTGTATCATGTGGTGGTGCTGGGATTATTAAATGAACCCACAGGAAGTAGGTGGGCCATTGTCATTGTCACTGCTGTCTTACGGAGCTGGGGTGCAGTGGCTCGGCATGGTCCTGGGTATGCTTGAACTTGAGGGTGGGCTTTGCTTGTACAGCTCACTCCATGCCCCTCTGTCTGGCCCTCTGCAGAGTGGCAGGACGAGCTCTCCGATAACCAGTCAGAATATTCCATTGGCTCCGAGGATGAGGACGAGGACTTTGAAGAGAGGCCAGAAGGGCAGAGTGAGTCTCAGTGTTAGTGGTCTGGGCTACTGCTGAGGGCACGTCAGGGGAGCTGATGGCAGCAGGGGCGGGGCTGGTCTGGGGTGCTGCTGTCCTTGGGGATCAGAAGAGGGGGGTCAGGAATCTCTGGGCTCCCACCTGAGGAGCTGTGGCGGGCTGCTCCCCAGGTGGACGACGACAATCCCGGAGGCAGCTGAAGAGTGACAGGGACAAACCCCTGCCCCCGCTTCTCGCCCGAGTTGGTGGCAACATTGAGGTGGGGCCTGTCTGTTCCTGCACCTCTTTCTGCCCCCGCTTCCTGCTGCCCCTGGGGTATGGAGGAGGGCTGGGACACTGCCCAGGGTCTCATGCCAGGTAGAGGTGGGGCTGGGACAGAACTTGGTCTGGTCTTCGCTGTCAGGGTCCTGCCCCAGGTGGAGGCCCTGCCTTCTCTGTGCCCCCTTCCTGCCTTCTCTGTGCCCCCTTCCTGCCTTCTCTTCCTCCCATGCTTTTCTTCCCCCATCCCAGAATCCTCCGCCCCCACCCTGTCTCTGTCCTGGGCTCATACTCCCGCTCTCCACCCGCCCAGGTGCTGGGCTTCAACGCCCGACAGCGGAAGGCCTTCCTGAACGCCATCATGCGCTGGGGCATGCCCCCGCAGGACGCCTTCAACTCCCACTGGCTGGTGCGGGACCTTCGAGGGAAGAGCGAGAAGGAGTTTAGGTAAAGGGGCTAGGTGGTGGCCCAGGGTGTGGCCACCTGTCCCTGAGTAGGGCAGGGTCCTGCGGGGGAGCCCTACGGAGGGCAGCATTTGCTCCCACCAGGATGAGGCCGTCTGGAAAGTTCACTGCCATTTGGTCTTTGGGTGGCTGGAGTCCTGGTGCCGGGCAGGGCTGATTTGCAGAAACTACTGACCAGTTGGTTTGGACCAGTGGTTGTTATGGCAGCGAGGAAGATCCCGGTCACCCAGGGCCAGGGCTGTCCTAGGAGTTCCCCTTGCCAGGGAGGCCCTCTCTGTCCTTTCCCGGGCCTGGCCCAGGCCTGACTGGGAGCGGGGTGATGGCTGATGATCATCCAGGAGTCCCCCGGGGTCCCGCCTGCCCTCTCAGAGAGTTCTTGCTGGCCCCCCACTCCCTGAGCCCCAGTCCCCCCGCCACCCCAGAGCCTATGTGTCCCTCTTCATGCGGCACCTGTGTGAGCCGGGGGCGGACGGTGCGGAGACCTTCGCAGATGGCGTGCCCCGGGAGGGCCTCTCCAGGCAGCACGTGCTGACGCGCATCGGGGTCATGTCACTAGTTAGGAAGAAGGTGGGTGAGTAGCTCTCTGTAGGGCCCTTCCTGGTGGCTGCCTGGGCTCCTGCTGCTGTCCCTTGGGGGTCAGTGGTCAGAAAACAAGTGCCTGTCTCAGGCCACATAGCCGCCCAGGGTCTGAGTCAGGCCAGAGGGACTGACCTGGAAAGCCTTTCTGGGTGAGGGGCCTGTGGGGTGGAGGTCAGGATGGTGGATTACGTACAGTGGGAGGACACACGGGGTAGGAGGGTGGGCAGGGGAGCTTGTGGTCGGGAGGGGCCTGGCTTGGCCAGCCTTGGGCGGCGGCAGCAGCTACCCCAAGCCTGTGACACCTTCAGCCGCCCGGCTGCCCTGAGGCTCTTAGGGCTGAGCTGCCACCACTGCCCTCCCTCTTTCCCTCCCGCCTTCCTTCCCACCACCCCAGGTTCAGGAGTTTGAGCATGTCAACGGGAAGTACAGCACCCCAGACTTGATCTCTGAGGGGCCCGAGGGCAAGAAGCCAGGCGAGGTGATCTCCTCGGACCCCAACACACCAGTGCCCGCCAGCCCTGCCCACCTCCCGCCAGCCCCGCTGAGCCTGCCAGGTCTGTGGGCTGGGCGGGCCGGGGAGGGCACCGGGGTCATGGAAAGTGGCAAGGTCACAGCAACCCCCTAGTCTAACCCACACCCCACAGAAGACGGCCTCTCTTTCCCTCAAAGCCTCTGTTTGCTGAAATGTCACTCTCCAGAGAGTTTTTCATTTTAATGACAGTTTTGAGATATAATTTATATACCTACTGCAAAATTCACTCTTGAAAAACTGGCTGGGCCCAGTGCCTAACACCTGTAATGCTAGCACTTTAGGAGGCCAAGGCGAGAGGATCACCTGAGCTCAGGAGTTTGAGACCAACGTGGCCAACATGTTGAAACCCCGTCTCCACTAAAAATACAAAAGATTAGCTGAGTGTGGTGGCACATGCCTGTAGTCTCAGCTACTCGGGAGGCTGAGGCAGGAGAATCGCTTGAACCTGGGAAGCGGAGGTTGCAGTGAGCCAAGATCACACCACTGCACTCCAGCCTGGGGGGACAGAGCAAGACTCCATCTAAAAAAAAAAAAAAGTACTATTCAGTGATTTCTAGTATATTTGCAGGGTGTACAACCATCGCCACTGGCTAAAGCTGGAATGTTTTCATTCCCCTGAAAAAGAAACCCTATACCCATTAGCAGCCACTGCCTATCCCCCGACACCAGGCCTGAGCAGCCACTAACCCGCTAACCTGCTTCCTGTCTCGGGATTTCTCAATGCTGGGTGTTTCATGCGTATGGCACCACACAGTGTGTGAGGCTTTGTGTCTGGCTTTTTTTTTTTTTTTTGGAGTCTCGCTCTGTCGCCCAGGCTGGAGTGCAGTGGTACGATCTTGGCTCACTGCAAGCTCCGCCTCCCAGGTTCATGCCATTCTCTGCATCAGCCTCCCGAGTAGCTGGGACTACAGGTGCCCACCACCACACCCGGCTAACTTTTTGTATTTTTAGTAGAGACGGGATTTCACCGTAGCCAGGATGGTCTCGATCTCCTGACGTTGTGATCCGCCTGCCTCGGCCTCCCAAAGTGCTGGGATTACAGGCGTGAGCCACCGCGCCTGGCGGAGTTTCGCTCTTGTTGTCTAGGCTGGAGTGCAATGGTGTGATCTCGGCTCGCTGCAACCTCTGCCGCCCAGGTTCAAGCCATCCTGCCTCAGCTTCCCGAGTAGCTGGGATTACAGGTGCCTGCCACCACCCGGCTAATTTTTGTATTTTTAGTAGAGATGGGGTTTCGCCATGTTGGCCAGGCTGGTCTTGAACTCCTGACCTCAGGTGATCCACCCACCTCAGCCTCCCAACGTGTTGGAATTACAGGCGTGAGCCACTGCGCCTGGCCGGTATCATTTTCTTGTATGGATTTACTGCATTTTGCTTATCCATTGCTCTGTCGATAGATTTTGGGTTGTTTCTACTTTTTGGCTACTGTGAATAATGCTGGTGTATTTCACGTTTTTGTGTGGACATAGGTTTTGAGTTCTTTTGGGCAGATATCTAGGAATGGAATTGCTGGGCCATGTGATAACTCTGTTTTCCCTTTTGAGAAACTACTAGACTGTTTTCGAAGTAGCTATACCATTTTATGTTCCTGCTGGTATTGTGCGAGAGTCCCGGGTTCTCCACGTCATCAGCAGTACTTGTTCTCTGCCTTCATGGTTCTAGCTGTCCTGGGAGCGTGAGGTGGTGTCTCACTGTGGTTCCGATTGGCATTTCCCTGGGCCAAGGACGTTGAGTGTGGTTTCGTGTGCTTATTGGCTATTTGTAGACTTGTAGAAATGTCTTTTCAGATGCTTTGCACACTTAATTGGGTCATTTGTGCCCAAGTGTCTCTTTGGTGATCTAGGTGTTTATTTGGGTGAAGCAAATGCCTGTTAAATACCTAGTCCCTCAGTTGGGCCTCACAGGCCTGGGGCGGACATAGCTATCCCCCTGGTGATGGGTGAGGCCAGGCCCTGAGAAGCTGCGCCTCCAAGCACAAGGGAGCCCTTGGAGGTGGGCACATCTTGGTTTGCTTCTTGGCTTTGGCTGAACTCTGTCTAACCTTGGGCAAGTCACCTAACTTCCGTGAGCCTCCGCTTTCCTAGCTGTGCCCACCTCCCAGGGCTTCTCAGAGCTGCATAAGTGACCAGCACTTTGCAGTGTGTCGGCGGCTGACTTGGCAGGGAGGAAACTCACACCCTCTCCAGTGGCACACAGCCAGCCAGCCTGCCCGAAAGCTAGGACCAGACCAGGCGGCGTGGCTCCCAATCTGGGCCTCCGACTGCCTCACTTCCCTGCCTCCAGATGAGCAGCCACTGCTGTGTGGGGCCCTGTCCCGACAGCCCCTCACTTTGGTCTCACTGGGTTCAAGGTCCTCCAAACATTACTAAATCATAGGCCTGGCCTGGCCTCTCTGACTTAGCCAGGGATCTGCCTGTCTCTCCTGGAGGTGCTTGGCTGCAATGGAGCCTCCTGAAGGCCAAGCCCCACCTCTCCTCTCTGCCACCCCACTCCCTGCCCTACCCCTTCCCATTTGAGCCCACCTGTCTCACCTCTTTCCCTTGATCTTTCAGACAAAATGGAAGCACAGCTGGGCTACATGGATGAGAAGGACCCGGGGATGCAGAAGCCAAAGAAGCCCCTAGAAGTCCAGGTGTGGAACGTGCTGGTGTCTGGGTCTGTGGTGTATGTGGGGTGGAGGTTGGGTCTGGGGACCTTCTCAGGCCCTGCCCAGCAAGGTGGAACCCAGGCCTCCCGGCTCCCTTTTCGGGGCTCTGAGTCCGGAGGAGCAGACTGGGAACAAGCAATGGGAGCCAGGAGACTGGGTTCGCAGCCCAGCGCACGTTCCCCGCCCTCTGTTCATGGTAAGGCCCCAGGCCCTGCAGTTCTCCTGGCTTCCCCTCTGCAGGCCCTTCCAGCTGCCTTGGACAGAGTGGAGGGCGAGGACAAGCACGAGAGCCCAGCCAGCAAGGAGAGAGCCCGAGAGGAGCGGCCAGAGGAGACGGAGAAGGCCCCGCCCTCCCCGGAGCAGCTGCCGAGAGGTTGGGCTTCCTGCAGTCTGCCCACCCCAGTGCCATGTCTGGCCTCAGCAGGCCTGGGTTCAGAGAAGGGCAGGTGGCTGTACTTCAGCTCATTTCTGCCTGGCAGAGAGGTAGACTCCAGCCCTGTCCAGGCCCCCTGGTGAGGGGAGGCCAGGAGCTCAGGCCTCTATATATGGACCTAATGGACTTTAACTTTTTTTTTTTTTTTTAGGAGAAAGGGTTTCACTCTGTCACCGAGGCTAGAATGCTGTGGTATGATCTCGGCTCACTGCAGCCTCCGCCTCCCGGGTTCAAGTGATTCTTGTGCCTCAGTCTCCCCAGTAGCTGGGACAACAGGCGTGCACCACCACACCCAGCTAATTTTATTTTTAGTAGAGACGGGGTTTCATCATGTTGGCCAGGATGGTCTCGATCTCTTGACCTTGTGATCCGCCCACCTCGGCCTCCCAAAGTGCTGGGATTACAGGTGTGAGCCACTGTGGCCGGACATTTTTTTTTTTTTTTTTTTAAATTTTTAGTAGAGACTGTTGGCTGGGCTGGTCTCAACCTCCTGACCTCCAGTGATCCACCCACCTTGGCCTCCCGCAGTGTTGGGATTACAGGTGTGAGCCACCTCGCCTGTTGGTCTTTAACTTTTCTTTTTCTTTTTTTTTTTTTTTTGAGATGGAGTCTCACTCTGTCACCCAGGCTGGAGTGCAGTGGTGCGATCTGGGCTCACTGCAAGCTCCACCTCCCGGGTTTACGCCATTCTCCTGCCTCAGCCTCCCGAGTAGCTGGGACTGGCTAGTTTTTTGTATTTTTTAGTAGAGACGGGGTTTCACCGTGTTAGCCAGGATGGTCTTGATCTCCTGACCTCGTGATCCGCCCGTCTCGGCCTCCCAAAGTGCTGGGATTACAGGCTTGAGCCACCGCACCCGGCCTGGTCTTTAACTTTTCTTACCATACAGAGAGTGGCGGTTATTGGGCTACTTTTTTATTTGTGATTTCTGACTCAATTGCATTGTGGTCTGAAAACTTGAGTCTATATGAGGTTGTTGAAACCTGCTCTCTGGCTCAATACGGTCAGATTTTGTAAATGCTGTATATGTGCTTGAAGAGAATGTTCCCTAACTGCTGGGTTTAAGGTTCTAACTATATGCATTAGGGCCGGGTATGGTGGCTCACACCTGTAATCCCAGCACTTTGGGAGGCTGAGGCAGGTGGATCAGCTGAGGTCAGGAGTTTGAGACCAGCCTGGCCATCATGGCGAAACTCTGTCTCTATTAAAAATACAAAAATTAGTTGGGTGTGGTGGCGTGTGCCTATAGTCTCAGCTACTCAGGAGACTGAGGCAGGAGAATTGCTTGAACCTGGGAGGCAGAGGTTACAGCGAGCCAAGATCATGCCATTGCACTCCAGCCTGGGTGACAGAGCGAGACTCCATCTCAGAAAAAAAAAAAAAAAAAAAAAAAAAAAATATATATATATATATATATATGCATTAGATCAGTAGATAATGCATGCCAATTATGTTGTTCAAGTTTTTAATATCTTCACTAGTATTTGGTTTGCTTTGATCAGTCAGTTTCTGAGAGACTTGTGTTAAAATCTCTCATTATGATTATGGATTAATCTCTTCTTATAATGCCAGATTATGCTTCATATCATTTGAGATTAGGTTGTCAAGTGCATATTTGTTCAGGTTTGTAATATTTTTCTTGTGAAATGTGCTTCTAATTATTGTGTAACAACCCTCTTATCCCCCTTTAAACTTTTTGCTTAAAAGTTTATTTTTGGGCCAGGCGTGGTGGCTCATACCTGTAATCCCAGCACTTTGGGAGGCCGAGGTGGGGAGATCACAAGGTCAGGAGTTCGAGACAATCTGCCGAACATGGTGAAACCCCGTCTCTACTAAAAATACAAAAAAATTAGCTGGGCACAGTGGCAGGCGCCTGTAGTCCCAGCTACTCGGGAGGCAGGAGAATGGCGGAAACCTGGGAGGCGGAGCTTGCAGTGAGCCAAGATTGCACCACTACACTCCAGCCTGGGTGACAGACCCATACTCCGTCTCAAAAAAAAAAGCTTATTTTTGCTGATTTGGGTTGGTCTTTCTTTTGTTTAGTACATATTTGTTACGCCTTTTTCTATTCCTGTTTTTTTTTTTTATTTTTTAATATAACAGCTTTATGGTGGTATAATTAACATATCATACAGTTGAGCCACTTAAAGTATACCATTCAGGTCAGGCGCAGTGGCTCATGCCTGTAATCCCAGAACTTTGGGAGGCTGAGGCGGGTGGATCACCTGAGGTCAGGAGTTTGAGACCAGCCTGTCCAACATGGTGAAACCCTGTCTCTACTAAAAATACAAAAATTAGCCGGGCGTGGTGGCGGGCGCCTGTAATCCCAGCTACTCAGGAGGCTGAGGCAGGAGAATCTCTTGAACCCAGAAGGCAGAGGTTGCAGTGAGCCGAGATGGTGCCACTGCACTCCAGCCTGGGCAACAAGATCGATGCTCTGTCTCAAAAAAAAAAAAAAAAAAAGTATACTATTTGTTATTTTTAGTACATCCCGAGTTGTGCAACCATCACCATTATCTAATGCCAGAACATTTTATCACTTCAAAAATAAATTCTTCTTACCCATTCGTAATCACTCCCCATTTCTTCCTCTTCCTCCCAGCCCCTGGCAATCACTTCTGTCCTATGGACTGACCTATTCTGAAGATTTCATACCAATGGAATAATACAATACTTTGGCCCTTTGTGTCTGGCTTCTTTCATTTAGCATAGTGTTTTTAAAGTTCATCTATGTTGTGGAATGTATTAGTACTTCATTCCTTTCTTTTTTTTTTTTTTTTTGAGACAGGGTCTTGCTCTGTCACCCAGGCTGGAGTGCAGTGGCATGATCTTGGCTTACTACAGCCTTGCCCCACTGAGTGCAAGCGATCTTTCCACCTCAGCCTCCCGAGTAGCTGGGACTACAGGTGCACATGCTGACACACTGGCTAATTTTTGTATTTTTTTGTAGAGACAGGGTTTTGCCATGTTGCCCAGGCTGGTCTTGAACCCCTGTACTCAAGCGATCCTCCCACCTTGACCTGCCCCAGTGCTGGGATTACAGGCAGCATTTCATTTCTTTTTATGCCCAAATAATATTCCATTGTATGGCTCTACTATGTTTTGTTTATCCATTCATAGTGATACATATTTGAGTTGTTTCCACTTTTTGGCTACTGTACATATTTGTGTACACATTTTTTTTGTGTGTGGGTATAGGTTTTCAGTTCTCTTGGGTATATATCTAGGAGTAGAATTGCTGGGTCATATGGTAATTCTCTGTACCATTTTGAGAAACTGCTGAATTGTTTTCCATGTGTATTGCATCAGTTCACATTCTTACCAGCATGTGTGAGGGTTCCAGTTTCTTCACATACTTGCCAATACTTGTTATTATCTGTTTTTTTTTTTTTTTTTTTTTTTTTGAGACGGAGTCTCACTCTGTCGCCCAGGCTGGAGTGCAGTGGCCGGATCTCAGCTCACTGCAAGCTCCGCCTCCCGGGTTCGGGCCATTCTCCTGTCTCAGCCTCCTGAGTAGCTGGGACTACAGGCGCCCGCCACCTCGCCCGGCTAGTTTTTTGTATTTTTTAGTAGAGACGGGGTTTCACCGTGTTAGCCAGGATGGTCTCGATCTCCTGACCTAGTGATCCGCCCGTCTCAGCCTCCCAAAGTGCTGGGATTACAGGCTTGAGCCACCGCGCCCGGCCTTGTTTTTGTTTTTGAGACGGATTCTCACTCCGTTGCCCAGGCTGGAGTGCAGTGACTGGATCTCAGCTCACTGCAAGCTCCGCCTTCCGGGTTTACGCCATTCTCCTGCCTCAGCCTCCCGAGTAGCTGGGACTACAGGCGCCTGCCACCACGCCTGGCTAATTTTTTGTATTTTTTTTTTTGGTAGAGACGGGGTTTCACTGTGTTAGCCAGGATGGTCTCGATCTCCTGACCTCATGATCCGCCTGTCTCGGCCTCCCAAAGTGCTGGGATTACAGGCTTGAGCCACCACGCCCGGCCTATTATCTGTTTTTTTGAGTATAGTCACCCTAGTGGGTGAGAAGTGGTATGTCATTGTCATTTTGATTTGAGTTTCCTTTGTGTATAAAGATGGTGAATATTTTTTCATGTGATTATGGCTCATTTGTATATGATTTGTTGAAGAAATGTCTTTTCAGATCCTTCATCTATTTTAAAATTGGATTTTTAAAAAATTATTGAGTTGTAAGAGTTCTTTTTAAATTAATTAATACTTTTAGAGACAGGGTCTTACTATGTTGCCTAGGAGGGCTTTACCTGGGCCCAAGTAATTCTCTAGCATTAGACTTTTGAATAGCTAGGATCACAGGCGTGCACCACTGTGCCTGGCTTGTATGAGTTCTTTATATAGATTCGTGTTCCTCATCAGATACATGATTTACAAATATTTTCTTTCATTTCTTCACTTTTAATCTCTTTGTAATGTTTTAGGTCTCTTTTAGACAGTGTATAGAGGATTCATTATTTAAAAATCTAATTATAGGGTCCCTATCTTTTAGCTGGCTAGTTTAATCTCTTTACATTTATTGTAATAACTAGGTATGTGGATGGGTTTCTACTGTCTTATTTTGTACTTTATATATTATCCTTTTTTCTCCTTTTTCCTCCTTTCCTGACATCTCTTGGATTGATCAAATTTTCTTTATATCTTGTCTTTTTCCCCTCAACTTATTTGGAAGGTTTATAGTCAGTTTCATTCTATACTCTTACATTTTTTTTTTTTTTTGAGACAGAGTCTCGCTCTGTCACCCAGGCTGGAGTGCAGTGGTGCGATCTTGTCTCACTGCAAGCTCAGCCTCCCGGGTTCACGCCGTTCTCCTGCCTCAGCTTCCCAAGAAGCTGGGACTACAGGCCCCCGCCACCACGCCTGGCTAATTTTTTTTTTTGTATTTTTAGTAGAGATGGGGTTTCACTGTGTTCACCAGGATGGTCTCGATCTCCTGACCTCGTGATCCGCCCACCTTGGCCTCCCAAAGTGCTGGGATTACAGGCGTGAGCCACCGCGCCCGGCCTGTACTCTTACATTTTTAACATGTATCCCTCTGAGTAATATGAGGACTTTAGATAGCTTTAGCTCTAACTCACTTCCCTTTCATCTGCCACATTGCTGTTGCCCAGTATTTTAGTTTCAGTTTGTTTTTACTTTCCCAAATTTGTTGTTACGCTTATTTCTAAATCTTTAATCCTTTTTTAGATCTTCTCACATTCTTACCAGTTTGTGTTTGCTTATTTGTTCATCATTGCTTCATTCAAAGTCCTTCCTAAAGTACACCTTTAATGGTGCTTTCAGCAGTTTTTTGGGAAATGGTTAATTCTCTCATTGTTATTTTTCTTTTACTCTTGAATAGTTAGTACAATTGAAGATGGGATAGGGATCTTCCCTCAGCACTTTGCAGATATTCTTCCCTTTTTATTTGGCATTCATTATGCTGAAAAGGCTGCTGAGAAGCTGAGAAGGCTGCCGTTGGTGTAATTGTTGCTCCTGTGTAGGAAATTTGTCATTTCTGTCTTTTCTCACATTGAAAGACTGCTTTTAAGACATTCTCTTTGTCTTTGGTGATATGTAGCTTCACTACAATGGAGGATATTTTTTGTTTTGTTTTTAGAGTGAAGTTTTTGTTTATCTTGTGTGTGACTCACTGTGATTCTTAAAGCTGAATATTTATGTCCTGCATCAATTATGGGAAAACTCTCAGTCATTCTCTCTTTGAATATTTTCTTTGTCCTCATTATGTTTATTTTCTCCCTCTGGAATTCCTATTACTCATTGATTGGTTCATTCATCCAACAAACGTATATATATACACATGCATATATATATATATATAGAGCCTGCTGAGTGTCAGATGCTGTCCCAGGCACTGGGGACACAAGCAATGAACCAAAACAGCTGAAAGCTTCATTCCATGGAGTTTGTATTCCAGTGGGGAACACAGGCAATCAACAATAAGCAGAAATACATGTTGTTCAACCACAGACTCCAAATGCTATGAAGAAGGAAGCAGAGTACAAGGTTAGCAAAAGATGGGTGCTGATAAATTTTCATATCTCTTGCTTCTTTTTTGTTATCTATTTCTCTGCCAGGCTTTTTGAGTAATCCTCAGATCCAGCTTCCATGTATATTTTCTTTGCACAGCTGTGTTTTAAAACCTTCCCATTTGTATTATTTTGCATGGCTGTGTCACAAATTACTGCAAACGTAGCGGCTTAAAACAGCACTCACCATGAGCTCGCAGTTGTGTGGGTCCGACGCCTGGCGTGGTGTAAGTGGGTGTTCTGCTCAGGATGTCACAAGGTTCAGGACATCAAAGTATCGACTAGGTTGAGTTCTCGTCTGGAGGCCTTGGGGTAAAGTCCACATCCGTGCTCACTCTTTGTTGGTGGCAGATTTCAGTTCCTTGAGGCTGGAGGACTGAGGTCCCATTTCCTTGCTGGCTGTCAGCTGGGTCCATTTTCAGCACCTGGAAGCCACCACATTCCTGCCATGTAGCCTAGTCTGCCTTCAAGCCAGCAGTGGTGAACAGAAACGCTCCCATGCTTCGAATCTCTGACTTCGTTTTCTGTGACCAGTCAGAGAAAAGGGCTCGTGTGGTCGGGTTAGGCCTCCTCAGGTCATCTCCCTGTTTAAAGGTCACCCGTGCCACAAAACGGAACCTGCTCTGGGGGGCCGAGTCCATCCTCTTCACCTTCCAGGGGATTTTGCAGGGTGTGGACACCAAGGGCCGGAAGTCTTGGAGCACATCTTAGAATTCTGCAATCAAAATGTTAATGATTGTGGTATTTCCTTTCCTTTCCTTTTATTTTTTTTGAGATGGAGTCTTGCTCTGTCACCTAGGCTGGAGTGCAGTGGTGCGATCTCGGCTCACTATAGCCCCTGCTTCCCGGGTTCAACTGATTCTCCTGCCTCAGCCTCCTGAATAGCTGGGATTACAGGCACCTGCCACCATGCCTGGCTAATTTTTGTATTTTTAGTAGAGACAGGATTTCACCATGTTGTTCAGGCTGGTCTCAAACTCCTGACCTCAAGTGATCCGCCCACATTTCTAGAAGTTTTATCTGGTTTTCTTTTCTAGTTTTGAGGGAGTCTTATTCTTTCCCTGTGGATTCTCTTCCTTCTTTTTCTTTTTTCTCTGTCTTTGGTCACTCTAGATATACTTTATTTTAGAGCAAGCTTTTTCAACCTGTGTGGCCCGTGGGACAAATGCGGCCCAGGATGGCTTTGAATGCGAATCAACACGAATTTGTAAACTTTCTTAAAACATTTTGAGTCGTTTTTTGTGATATATATGTGTGTGTGTGTGTGTGTATGTGTGTATGTATATATATTATATATATATATAAGCTCATCAGCTGTCGTCAGTGTTTAGTGTATTTTATGTGTGGCCCAAGACGGTTCTTCCAGTGTGGACCAGGGAAGCCACAAGATCGGACACCCCTGTTTGAGAGACCCCCTGTATGTCAGCTGGTGGGGGACCATTCTTTTCTGGGTTTGGGTTGGGTGCATCCTCATCAGGGGTTGTGATTTTTATCTGCAGGAGCTCCGTGTCCTCTGCGGGGTGGGAGTGTCCTTTCTCTTTTATTTCCGGAGGCTCAGGCCGGGAGGTTTCATGGGCAGTCTCCCTCTGGGAGCAGCTTTGTGATGCTGCCTCTGCCTCGGGTGGTCCAGTTCAGATCCCACACCCATGAAGATGAGTGGTGTTAGCGACTGCACCTGGCCGAGGAGAGCTCTTTTTGGTGGCACCTGTAGGACTCTGCAGAACGTATTGATGGATAGGGTTCTATGGGTGGAAAGCCACCAGCCCAGAGTCCTCTCTGCTTTCTGGGACCCCACCCCACGCTGCGAACCCTCTTTTTCTTGCAGAGGAGGTGCTTCCTGAGAAGGAGAAGATCCTGGACAAGCTGGAGCTGAGCTTGATCCACAGCAGAGGGGACGGTTCTGAACTCAGGCCAGGTCTGGGGCTCTTCTATGTTCTCTACCTGTACCCCATGGTCCCTGAGGGTACCCTCTGGACCCTATTCAGCCTCCCACAGTCTCCCAGGCACTGTCCCCTTGGCCCCAGGCCTGATTGGAGCTGGCAGGTGGGAGCCCGGATTCACCAGCACCTCACAGCCAGGGCTGGGGACAGACTCGCCGCTCATGTCTCCTGAGCGCTGCTGTGCCCCAGCCGCTGAGCGAGAGGAGAGCTGGTCATAGAGCCTGGCCTGGGGGATTTGGGGCTCAGTTGGAAGCTTTGCATACTTCTGGGCACTGGAATGTTCTGGAACAGTTGTCCTCAGATCAGCCCCCTCAGGCAGCTCTGTGTCTTTGAACTTGAGCTGTACTTTTCACAGTGCGCTCCTGTCCTGCTCCTGGGTGGTCCTTATGTGGTTGGGGAGGAGCGCTAGGGCCTGGAGCTAAGCCTCCCTGCCCAGGACAGAGAGAGGGACCGTTGGCTTGTTTAAGACCCTTCTGGGCAGCGAGCCCCCTGAGGACAAGGGGATGTATTCTACTTGCGTCCTGGGTCCTCAGTGCTTGGCAGAGAGAGGCCCCTGGGCACTGCTTTTTGGATGGATGAAAGAATGTGATCTGTCCCCGGCAGATGACACCAAGGCTGAGGAGAAGGAGCCCATTGAAACACAGCAAAATGGTGACAAAGAGGAAGATGACGAGGGGAAGAAGGAGGACAAGAAGGGGAAATTCAAGTTCATGTTCAACATCGCAGATGGGGGCTTCACAGGTATTGGGGTTGGAGGAAGGGTGGAGAGCTGAGGCTTCCTGACTGTGGGTCCCAGGAGTCTAGATAAAGTTACCCAGTGGCAATTTTATACTAGAGTGTGACTGGTTGATAGAAGTCCATTGTATAACCTTTCTTAGCAACACTGGAACACTGGACCTCTGGGGGTGGAGGCAGTGGCAAGTAGGGAGGGAGTGGCTCTCCAAGCCTGCCTGTGTGTGAAAGCCGGGGCACTTCTCATCCTGCTCACCTTGGCTTGTTTCCTAGAGTTGCACACGTTGTGGCAGAACGAGGAGCGGGCTGCTGTGTCCTCGGGGAAAATCTACGACATCTGGCACCGGCGCCACGACTACTGGCTGCTGGCGGGCATCGTGACGTATCCTTGGCCAGGCCGGGCTGGGCAGGCACTTGCCTGTTCCTCTGTGGACCTTGGGGAGAGCCCTCTGAGGGCTCCGGGGAAGCCATCCTTGCTCTTCCTCAATCTTCCTGGTTTCTGGCGGTGGCTAGAAATCCTTGGCATTGCTGCGTCGCCCGCTCCCCACCGCTGTCATCACAGCTTCTTCCTTGTGTGTCTGTCTGGGTCCACATTTCCCCCCTTTTTTTTTTTTTGAGATAGAGTTTCACTCTGTTGCCCAGGCTGGAGTGCGGTGGCTTGATCTCGGCTCATTGCAACTGCTGCCTTCCGTGTTCAAGTGATTCTCCTGCCTCACCCTCCTGAGTAGCTGGGATTACAGACGCCCACCACACCTGGCTAATTTTTGTGTTTTTAATAGAGACAGGGTTTCACCATGTTGGCCAGGCTGGTCTTGAACTCCTGACCTCAAGTGATCCGCCCGCCTCAGCCTCCCAAAGTGCTGAGATTACAGGTGTGAGCCACTGTGCCTGGCCTTTTTCTTTTTTTTTTTTTGAGATGGAGTCTCGCTCTGTGGCCTAGGCTGGAGTGCAGTGGTGCGATCTTAGCTCACTGCAACCTCTGCCTCCCGGGTTCAAGTGATTCTTCTGCCTCAGCCTCCTGAGTAGCTGGGACTACAGGCATGTGCCACCATGCTTGGCTAGTTTTTGTAATTTTAGTAGAGATGGGGTTTCGCCATGTTGGCCAGGCTGGTCTCGAGCTCCTGGCCTCAAGGCCTTGGCCTCCCAAAGTGCTGGGATTACAGGTGTGAACTATCGCGCCTGGCCCCAGATTTTCCTCTTATAAGCATACCAGTCATTGAATTTAGGGCACACCCTAATGCGGTGTGACCCTTTCTTGATTACATCTGCAAGTACTCTTGTTTCCAAAAAAGGTTCCCATTCACGGGTGCTGGGGGCAGGACTTAAACGTATGCACCCCAGGTTGTTGGGGTGAAGAGTTAACCCTCTGAAGCCCCAGGGCTGTGTCTGGTGCACCCAGGGCACCTGTCAGTGTCTGCTGATACTGTCACTGTTGTGTCATCAATATGTTCATCGTGTAGCCTGGCTTAAGGACTTGCCTGAGAGCATACAGCCAGGATGCCGATCCCCGGGCTGGCCTCTCCCTCTGCCTAAGCTGCCTCCCCTTATGGTCCCCCCTCTTCTAATGGCCAGGTTTGCCCTTAACGGTGCCCCACCCAGGCACGGCTACGCCCGCTGGCAGGACATCCAGAATGACCCGCGGTTCATGATCCTCAACGAGCCCTTCAAGTCTGAGATCCACAAGGGCAACTACCTGGAGATGAAGAACAAGTTCCTGGCCCGCAGGTTTAAGGTCAGTCTTCTGAAGGGCCAGGGGCTGCAGGGCCGGGGAGGGACGGGTGTCAGGAGGGCCCTCCCAAAGGCAAAGGAATTAAAGAACAGCAACCCCTCCGCATGTAGCTGGGTCACACGGCCATGAAGCAGTCAGCAAGTCCATCGACTAACAATGGTGGATCCTTGCTCTGGCCCTGGACCCACTGGGGAGTATCTGCCTCCTTGGGGCGATGAGGTACAGAGAACCCAGCTTGGTGACAGCTCCAAGGGTTGGCCACCACCAGGCCAGGGTGGGCGGCAGATGGCAGTACGTCTCCTTTCCCTCCTTTCTGCCGGGAGTCTTGGCCTGGGGCGGGCGCTGGTGGAGGACGGAGGGTAGCCATTCAGGAGGAGGGGCCGGGCCGACGCTGCCCCCTACCCCCAGCTGCTGGAGCAGGCGCTGGTCATTGAGGAGCAGCTCCGGAGGGCCGCGTACCTGAACATGACCCAGGACCCCAACCACCCCGCCATGGCCCTCAACGCCCGCCTGGCTGAAGTGGAGTGCCTTGCCGAGAGCCACCAGCACCTGTCCAAGGAGTCCCTTGCTGGGAACAAGCCTGCCAATGCCGTCCTGCACAAGGGTGAGCGAGCCCTGCCCCCCGCGGGGTGGCCCCGCAACCTTCCTCCTGCCCAGCCGGTGCTCTTGGCTGTAGATGAGGGCGCCGATGGGGTAGGGGCTGGGGACAGATGTCAGCCCAGAGGGCGGTGGACTTCTGGGCCAAGATGGGACAGTCCTATCATCAGACCCCTCATCGCCCCTGGAGGGAAACTGAGGCTGCTTGCTTCTCCAGCCTGTTTCTCAAGCCTGCTCTGTGCAGGCCCTGACTCGGGCTAGTGACACACAAAACCACGAAACTGTAAAGGCTTCTGAGTCCTGACAGCGTGCCTTAAATGCATTGTGTTTTTAGCCCGGGCGATACCCATCAGCCTGGAGCCTTCTCGTTGGCTGTGCGGTTAGGGGAAGTAGTTTGCCCAAGATCTCCTGTGATTCAGACCTTTGGTGCTGGCTGCACATCTCTGCCTGTGGTCACAGGGCACAGTTCTGCCTTTGGGGCTCCCAGATGGCTGGGGGAGGGAGTGGCCCTGTGGTGAGAGTTGCTGGACCCGTCCCCGTGCCTTGCAGCCCTCCTTGGTGTACTCGGACCCTGTGCCTAGCAAGGCCTGGGGCTGCAGGCCTCCCTGAGGACTCTTAGGAGGGAAGCTTCTGGCTGGCTCATCTGTAGCCCGTGGCCCCTGCCCAGCCCAGAGGGGCTCCTGGGAGGAGTTCTTTGGAAGCTTCTGCTGTGTCCCCCGCTTGGCAACGCTGCCTGGCAGCTTGGGAGGGCCTGGTGCAGAGCACCTCCTGGTGCCCGGTTCTGGGCGAGTGCAGTCATACACCCTTGCAAATAAGACCCAGCTCTCAGGCTGCCTCCCCTGGCATAGCTCTTCATCCCTCCATCCCTCCATCATCCCTCCATGCCTCTGTCCTTCCACCCCTCCATTCCTCCGTTCCTCTGTTCTTTCACCCCTCCATCCCTCATCCTTCCATCATCCCTCATCCCTCCATTCCTCTATTCTTTCACCCCTCCATCCCTCATCCCTCCATCATCCCTCATCCCTCCATCCTTCCACACCTCCATCCTTCCATCCCTCCATCATTCCTCCATGCCTCCGTCCTTCCATCCCTCCATCTCTCCATCATTCCTCTGTTCCTTCGTCATCCCTCCATTCCTCCATCCTTCCACTCCTTCATCCTTCTATCCCTCCATCGTCCCTCCATACCTCCGTCCTTCCATCCCTCCATCTCTCCATCATTCCTCTGTTCCTTCATCATCCCCCCATTCCTCCATCCTTCCACTCCTTCATCCTTCTATCCCTCCATCATCCCTCCATGTCTCTGTCCTTCCATCCTTCCATCCCTCCATCATCCCTCCATGCCTCTGTCCTTCCACTCCTCCATCCCACCATCTCTCTATTCTTCCACTCCTCCATCCCTCAATCCCTCTATCCTTCGACTTCACTCCTCCATCCCTCATCCTTCCATCATCCCTCATCCCTCCATCCTTCTACCCCTCCATCCCTCCATCCTTCCATTATCCCTTCTTCATACCTCCATCCCTTCATCCCTCCATCTCTCCATCATCCCTTCATCATTGCTCCATTCCTCCATCATCTTTCCATTTTCCCTCCATTCCTCCATCTTTCCACCCCATCCCTCCATATCTCCATCATCTTCCCATCCTTCCATCTCTCCATTTCTCCACCCCTCCATCCCTCCATCCCTCCATCATCTCTCCATCCCTCCATCTTTCCATTCCTCTGTCCCTCCATTATCCCTTCATCATCCCTTCATCCCTTCATTCCTCCATCTTCCCATCATCCCTCCATCCCTCCATCATCCTTCCATCATCTCTCCATCCCTCCATCCTTCCACCCCGTCATCCGTCCATCTCTCCATCATCACTCCATCTCTCCACCCCTCCAACCCTCCATCATCCCTCCATCCTTCCATCCCTCCATCATTCCTCCATCCCTCCATCATCCCTGTATATCTCCATGTCTCCACCATCCCTCCATCATCCCTCCATCACCCATCCCTCCACTATCCCTTCATCCCTCCATCCCTATATCTCTCCATCATCCCTCCATCCCTCCATCTTCCTTCCATCCCTCCATCTTCCCTCCATTATCCCTCCATGCCTCCATCTTCCCTCCATTATCCCTACATCCCTCCATCCTTCCACCCCCCCATCCCTCCATCATCCCTCCATCCCTCCGTTATCCCTCCATCCCTATATCTCTCCATCATCTTTTGTCATCCCTCCATCCCTCCATTATCCCTCTATCATCCCTTCATTGTTCCATCATCCCTCCATCTCTCCATCATCCTTCATCATCCCTCATCCCTCCATCATCACTTCATCATCCCTACATCCTTTTATCTCTCCATCATCCCTTCATCATCCCTACATCCCTCCATCTCTCCACCCCTCCATCCCTCCACCCCTCCATCCCTCCATCATCCCTCCATCCCTCCATCATCCTCCATCTCTCCATCATTCCTCCATCTCTCCATCATTCCTTCATTATCCCTCCATCCCTCCATCTTCCCTCCATCATCCCTCCATCTCTCCACCCCTCCATCCCTCCATCATCCCTCCATCCCCCTATCATCCTCCATCTCTCCATCATTCCTCCATCTCTCCATCATTCCTTCATTATCCCTCCATCCCTCCATCATCCCTCCATCTCTCCACCCTTCCATCCACCATCATCCCTTCATCTCTCCATCATCCCTTCATTATCCCTCCATCATTCCTCCATCTTCCCTCCATTATCCCTATATGATCTCTCCATCCCTCCATCCTTCTACCTCTCCATCCTTCCATCCCTCCATCCCTCCATCCCTCCATCATCCCATCATCCCTCCATCCCTCCATCTTCCCTCCATCCCTCCATTATCCCTCCATTATTCCTCTGTTATCCCTACATTATCCCTCCATCCCTCCATCCTTCCACCCCTCCATTCATCCATCCTTCCACCCCTCAATACCACCATCATCCTTCCATCTCTCCATCATTCCTCCATCTCTCCATCTTCATTCCATTCCTCCATCTTCCCTCCATTATTCCTCCATCATCCCTCCATCCCTCCACCCCTCCATCCCTCCACCTCTCCATCCTTCCACCCTTCCATCCCTCCATCCCTCCATCCTTCCACCCCTCCATTCCGTCGTCCTTCTATCTCTCCATCATTCCTTCATGCCTCCATCTTCCTTCTATTTCTCTGTCTTCCCTCCATTACCCCTCCATCATCCCTCCATCTTTCCACCCCTCCATCCCTCCATCCCTCCACTCCTCCATCTTTCCATCCCTCCATCCCTCCACCCCTCCACCCCCCATGCCTCCACCCTTCTACCCCTCCATCTCTCCATCCCTCCACCTTTCCATTCCTCCATCCTTCCATCCCTCCATCCCTTCACCCCTCCATCCCTCCATCCTGCCATCCCTCTGCCTCCCACCACAGTCCTGAACCAGCTGGAGGAGCTGCTGAGCGACATGAAGGCGGACGTGACCCGGCTGCCATCCATGCTGTCCCGCATCCCCCCGGTGGCCGCCCGGCTGCAGATGTCGGAGCGCAGCATCCTGAGCCGCCTGACCAACCGCGCCGGGGACCCCACCATCCAGCAGGTCAGGCTCGGCCTGTGTGCCCCGGCCCGACCCCCTGGCGTGCCCCTGGGTGGAGGCTGGGTGGGGGGCCTGAGACCACCTGTGAAGCTGGGTCCTTGCCTCCAGGGCGCTTTCGGCTCCTCCCAGATGTACAGCAACAACTTTGGGCCCAACTTCCGGGGCCCTGGACCGGGAGGGATTGTCAACTACAACCAGATGCCCCTGGGGCCCTATGTGACCGGTAGGTGCCCGTCCGCTCCGGGCAGCATGCACACGGGTGCCCGCCGGGCCCGGCCTGCCTGCTGCTGCCGACGCCAGGCAAGCCCGGTCTCCTCTTTTTTTGACAGATATCTAGCCGTCCCCGAGACTTCCCTGTGTTGCAGCGCTCTTTTCCAGCTGAGGTGAGGGCTGCCGGGTGCTGCTCTTCGTCCCCGCCGCCCCATTGCTGGCAAATCAGGCCTGGCCACAGTCAGCCCCGTCCATGCACTTGACTCCCGTCCCTAAGTCCTGAAGCTTTTACTGCCTCCGGTGGCTTCGAGAGTCACCACCTGCCTGGAGCCCCTCTACCTTGCCCCCTTGGCCCTGGGACCGCCTTGTGGCCCACGTGTCTGTCCGCTGGGAGGCTGGGGTGGCAGGACGTGAAGGGGTCGGCGGACTTGGGTGAGCTCCTGTGTGTACACGTGTGTTCTCATTTGCACACGTTCCCAGCGCAAGTCAGAGACTGCTGCCCCTGCGTGGAGCCCTGTCCTGCCCCTGCTGTCCTGCTGGTGGCGGACATCACATCTTGTCTCACACCCTCACTCCCTGCCCAGGACCGGGAGGGTGGCTGAAGGTTTTATGGGGGTTGTTGGCCAAGAGAGGGGGCTTATTTCATAGACACTGCCAGTTCACTCTGGCCTTCTTCTCTGGGGCCAGCAGCCTCCACCACATTGTGTCTGTCCCTGTGGGAACTGTGTCTTGCTGGTGGAGGCTCCAGAGGGGTGTCCTGGCTGGCTGCCCCTGCCCGCTGCAGCTTCCTGGGTGCTCTCAGAACTTTGGGTGTAGCTCATGGTCTGGCCCGGCAGCCTGTGGCTGGGAGGTCGTGGCTGGGGGTCCCGATCATAGTTGATTGTGATAGGTGGAGAAGCTGCTATAGGCTGTTGGGTGCCACCCTGTTGCCCCCTATAACTGCCCACCTGCTTAACCTACTGATTTGCCTTTTGCAGCCACGCCTGCCGGGCCACATGCCCGACCCCCATGGGAGAGAAAAGCTGCCGCCTTTTTAGGAGCCAGCGCCACCTTGGGACAAAAAGGGAAACCGAGTAATGCCATCACATGGAGGACGAGGCCCAGCCCGGCTGGGCCAGAGCCCAGAAGTGCCACCTCATCATAATTCAAGTGTTCTTCCATACAGCGTTGCCCCCACAACCACGCCGGACGTGCCCCCTCGCCACCTTTTCCAGATGACTTCTTAGAAGAGATTTCATTTATTTGTACATCTTTTGCACTTTCCTATTGAAGACTTGAACACGTTTGTCTTGATAAAAGTTGGATGACGTATGGAAGATTCGAACCGGAAGCACTGACGTCTCTTTACCGATGGGTTCCAGACCCAAGGTAGCCCTGGCACTGCCCTGTGGACTCGGCCCAGCTGGGGCGGACACGGCGCCCGGTGCCTGTCCTGTCAGCACCTGTGTGACTGCCCCTTCTGCTTCAGCCCCTGCCCACTTGGAGCCTCCCAACGCCAGAGAGGGCAGGTTTGGGGAGCCCCTGTCCAGCCCAATGGTGAGACCCTGGCTGACATTTCCCCTCCTTCCTACCAAGGCCAGGTGTTTGCTCTCTCCTTGCGGGGAGGAGGATCCTCTGCCAGCAGGTGTCTGTCCCCGGCCCAGCGTGTCTTGAAGGCCCTGAACTCTGTTACCAGTGGGGGGCCTGTGGCCCTGGCTCTTCGTGGCGGGCAGAAGCGTGTGATCCCAGGAGGGTGGGCTGGGGAGGACCAGCGCTTGCCTCGGAGCCACTGCTGCGTTTGGGGTTTGCCTTTTGCCAGAGGTGTGGTTAAGGGCAGTGATAGCTGGCGCCCCAGCAAGGAGGGTCATGGGCCCTGAGCTGGCCCAGGAGACCCTGGCCCTGCCCTGTGCCCTGGGATGCCTGCCCCGCCCACCTCCACGGGTGGAACCAGGCTGCCCCTGGCGGCCTGGACTTGTCCCATTCCCCTGTCCCTGGAAAGGCCCTCCCGGGGCCTTCCTGCCTGAGGCTGCACTCTTGGAGGGCATGGGGAGAGCTCTGCCTGAGGGGGACCGGACCCAGTGCCCTCTGCAGACTCCTCCCAGCTGCAGCACCAGGGGCTTGCTGCCTTGTCTCCTGCCAGGAGCGCTCTGGGTGCAGACCCCCAAACCATCTTCCCACATGGGGGTTGTTGGAATCCCACCACTCCCCCGGCCCCTGCCCCTCCAAGCTGGGGACGGAGATGGGGAGCAGGTCAGGCCCTCCCTAGGCCTGTCTGTGTCTCATCCTCCTCCCAGCCCCGGGTCCACCTGGAAGGCATTTCTGAGTCTTGAACTGAGACCTTCCCAGGGAAGGTGCTTTGGGTGCAGAATCCTGGGAGTGTTAGGAAAGGGCTCCGTGAAAAACCCAGCTGTGTCTGGGCTGGAGGCGCCACAGGCACTGGGGCTCAGCTCCCTGCAGAGGGCCTGCCTGGGACTTAGTGGGCCAGGGCTGGGTCAGGATTCACCGGCTTGTGTTGCAGACACTGGAGTGATTGCCTGGCCCTCCCTAAGCCCCAGATGCCTCACTCATAATGAGGCTCTCTCTGAACCCCGGAGGGCGGGACCCGCGAGCCCTTCATCTTGGCGCACTCCCACACTCCAGTCTGGATCCAGGTCTGGAAGGCCAGGCTGACCCTGACACTGCAGGTGGGCGTAGTGGGGAGCACCCTGGAGTGGAGATGATTGTCAGCGGGCTCACATGTGGTTTACCCACATGCGTGTTGTGTGCTCTGCAGTGCCTCCCGGCAAAGGCTCCTGGCTCGGGTCACAGGCGAGGTGACCTGCCATAAGCTCACTCCTGTGCCCTCATCCCCAACCAAGCAGTGGCCCGCACTGGGCTTGGCTGTCACTGGGAGCAGTGCCCACCTTCCTTGGCCCACAGCAGATAGGTCCCGAGCAGCAGGACTGGAGGCCTGTGGCGGTCAGGGGAGGGGTCTGTCTCCACCCCAAGGGCTGATGGTCCCTCCCCTGGGAGCCCCTCCTTCCAGGCAGCCTTGCTGTGTCCCTTCCTCTCTGCCTCCCTCCCAGGCCTCGCCAGGGCTCCCTTCTCCTCTGCCTGGTTAGACTCGGGCACCCAGGAAAGCCTGGCCAGAGCTCCTTCGGGCCTGGGCCCCTTGCCCTGCCTGGTCCAGAAGGGCTGGTGCTCTCCGTGGCCGGCACCCCGGAGCCCGGGAGGGGTGGGCTGCCGAGTCAGAGCGGGTTTGGGGCTGACCAGTTTGGGAGAGGAGAAAAGATCTGAGAGTGTCGTCTTGGTTGTCAGTCATCTCTGCCGAAAGCGGTGATGGTGGCTTCTGTGTGCTTGGCATCTTCTGGCTGGGTTTGGTTTTTGCTGCTGGTGGAATCAGGGTTCTCAGGCATGAGCATGAGCCCGAAGTGCCAGTCTGCGATTGGAGATTTCCAGCCACTTTATTTAAGCCAGTGCTGAGTAGGGCTTCTGCAGAGCCACATTTGAGCCAAGGTCTTGGAAGGCATTGCCCCATGGGCTCAGGTTACTCGGGGTGGAGTGAGCGCGTCTGCAGGCCCCTCACATACATGCCTGAGGCAGAAGCAGCGTCCCCTGTGAAAGCCACCTTCCGAAGCCCCTGTGTTTTCTGCAAACTTGGCTTCTCCCGGGGGCGGCTGGACTTTCCCTGCCCCCTATGATTGAAATCCTCCTGCTTTCGGGGGGCGGCCTTCCCAGAGTCCCCCGGGTGCTCCCCTGCCCAAGTCAGGAGCTGACCAAGCCTTGGCCCCGTGACACGTGCAGCCCTCACTCCTGTCATCCAGGACACTTGAGGGCCCAAGGAGGTGGAGCGGAGAGTGGGCTTGGGGACGTGGGAGCCGGAAGCCAGGTGGAGCTGGTCAAGTGTTGGTCACTTGGAGCCTCCAGTGTGCGTCGGGGTCTGTGGGCAGGGGACAGGGCCTGGGTCTGCCTCTCTACCCTCGCCGTGTTGGGGACCTGGCCTCGGCCCCCCCCCAGGCCTCTCCTGTGCACGGCCCAGCCTGGGTCCCGGAAGCTGCTTCCTGGCCCGTTTTCTATGTCGGGAAGTTTACAGGTTGCGGTGCATCAGCCCAAACTCACTGGCGTTGTGTTGTGTTTTGTTTTTTTTTCTTTAATTTTCAGATTTTTTTTAACAAAGTATTTTTTTAGGTGCGATAACCCAGAAAGGGCCCGTTGGGTGTGTGTGTGTCCTGAACTCCTCAAGCAGAGACTGGAGCCCAAGCACCCTTGGAGACGAAGGGACGGTCCCACTGGCCCGTGGGGTCTGAGTTCAGGGGTGTGGAGGGAGCAGACCCCACTGGCCCAGGCCCAGCTAAGAGGTGGCTGATCCCTTTCCCCAGGCACAGCCCCAGGCTGGCAAAGGGAGGGTCCTGGACTGGGTGCAGGGCGCGCCAGGAGTCCCAGCCAGGGTGGCCCCGGCGGGGGCGGGTCGAGCTTTGGAAGCCAGGCTCCCCTGTGAACCGTGGCTTGTCTGGTCTTCGCCCACGGGAGGCTGGACAGAGGCTGTAGCCAACACAATCACCTTTTCTTTGTACTCTGTGTGTATGTTTTGGTTTTCTGTGTTTTAATAAATCCTTTGGGAAAGGATTTAATCAGAGTTTTTTTTTTTTTTTTTTTAAAGATTCAAGATTTAGAATGGGGTGGGGGCTGGGGCCAGGGAAGAGTGGTGGGGGGTGGGGGTGTGTCCGGAAGCCTTCTCTTGCCTGGGATCGGCATTTCATGGGTGCAGGGGCTCACTGGGAAGGGGGGGGAAGCATGAAACAGGGGTGTGCTGGGGTGAGGCCCCTTTCACCTGTACCCCAAACACATGCCAGGAGAGCTTCTCCAGGCCTCGACCTCTGTCCTTGTGAGAACAGCAGCCAGCCAGGTCCCCAGAGGGACAGCAGCCTCCCAGCCAGCAGCTTTGGGCCCTCAGAGTTGGGGAAAGAGAATGTGTGTGTTGGGGGTGGCAGGGGAGGCACTGGGCCCCTGGGCTGAATCCCTTGGGAGAGATGGGGGGGCAGGTCTTCTGACCACCTCGTCCCCAGTCCCTGTCCCCGACCTCTGTCTCTCCACAGGCCCTTTCCAACCCACCTGCCTTTGGCTGCAGGCTCGGTTTGGGGGACACCCCAGCCCCTGCTGCTGGCAGCCTTTTCCTCCCCTCCCGTGTCGCCCTGGCCCAGCCCTGACCCCGAGGAAATGAGAGGGGCACAAAGGCACAGAGACCGATGGGTGTGGGCTTTATTTTGTCATTCCATAAATACGGTGGCTGTGTCGTGATCTGAGTCTCGTTTGGAAGCTCGAGGCATAGGATAGTCTGCCTAGGTAGGGAATGCAGTTAGCTGAGGAACCATGGTCGGTTTTAAAAAAAAGACGGGGGGCAGGGACGGAAAAAGCACATTATTTACATAACTGGACAAGGACAGAAGATGGGAGGAAGCCCGTCACTCCTCGGGACCGCAAGGCTGAGTGGGAAACAGTGGGGGCTCCGCAGCACCCAGCAGGGCCAGCGCCCTCCCTTCTAGACCCCGATTGCCCTTGGTCTTCTGTTCTTTCTCGGATGGTCCCACCTAACACCCCCCTCCCGAGGGGGGACCCGGCCCCAGGAGGCAGAACCCCCTCACATCCTCCCTGTAGATGGGTGTGGAGCAAACAGGACATCCAGGAACCAGGTTGTGGAAAGAGCTGCCCCAGAGGCTGCCTGCATCCTGGCACTGGGGTCTTGGGCCTCACCAGGGGCCTGGCCTCTGTTTGGCAAACCCACAGTGGGGGCTCAGCTGCCCCAGGTGTGGCTTGCGTTAAGCAGCAGTGCCCACCCCGGGCACCACCTCACGAGCTGGTCCCTCTTCCAACAGTGGGTGGGGCTGGGGTGGCAGTAGGGATGGGGCCAGCCACCCTCCCTGATGGCGAAGGTGGGCCACCTGCCCTCTGGCACCATTGGCCACTGCAGGACCCTGTCCTGGAAGGAAGCAGGCGACCCCCACCTGGGCCCGGGGCCATAGGCTGGGACCTCTGTTGGGAAGGGACTTCCTCGCCCCACACTCACAGGGCTGCTTGTGGTGAAGTGGGCAGTAGGACTGGGTGGAGTCCCCCGGGACTTGGTCTACGAGGAGGGGCGAGGGTTCTAGGCGCCAGGGGCGGCATGAAGGTGGGCCAGGAACAGCAGAAACTGCATCCCTCTCCTTGCGTCACTCCAGCCTCTCCCTGCTGGCCTTCCTGACTTACACACGTTTCCCAGGCCTTGGCCCGCCCAGGACTGGACAGCAGGCTCCTGCTGGACAGCAGGGTGGAGCCTTCTGGAATAGTGGATCCTCCAAGGGCAAAGTGGGAACGGAGGTGCTCGCGCTGAGGGTGTGCCTTGGGGGCAGGAGACACAGGCTTCCCTATGGAGCTAGCTGGCGAGGGGTGGGGGTGGCTTAGGTGGAGCCCTGCCCTGCGCAGTCAGCAAAGCCTGGGTACTGCTCGAGACACAGGCCTGGGCCTGTAGGTGACACCCCCGCACCTGCAGATTTCCTGGCATCCCCAGCCCTCCGGCCCAAGCTGCACAGGGGTGTCACTCTGGCCTGTCCTGCCCTCTCTGCCCTCTCCCCAGTCTGTTCCAGGTGTCGGGCAGTGGGAGGGGCCACAAGCCCCGGCCATCTTTCCCGGGAGAGGTTCGCTGAGGTCTTTTCCTACATTGTGGGGGCTGCCGTGGGGGTGCAGCACCCCAGTCCTGGGCACAGAAAACCCCAGGGACCCTTTCTTACTGAAAGGTCCAAGCATGCTCTCTGCAAAACTCCAGCCCACCACCTCAGTGCAGAATAGCAGCCTGGGGTGCAGGGCGGCTTTAGAGAAAGTCTACAGGGGCCAAGAAGAGTGCGTCCTGGAGCACAGGGCTGGCCTTTGCTGCCACTTGCCACGGTGTGGCCAGCAGCCACGGTGCAGCTAGGAGCGTATGACCACAGGGCCTTCCGGGGCCAGGACTGGGTGGCCGGACAGAAGGGCCTGCCCCACTGGGACCCCTCCCATGTGCTCCGGGCATCACTGGTGTGAGGCTCATCATTGGTGTGTAGGAGGAAGACGGTGGGATGCTGAGCTAGAAATCACACCCCTACACTTTTTGTGGCTCCCAAATTGCAGAGCCGATCCCCCTGGGGTCCCTGCCCCTGCCAGCGAGGGTGGGGGTGGGTAGGGGTCAAGGGCCAGCTCGAGCTTGGTAGGCATGGCCCCCACCGGGACCCAGTGGGGCAGGTTGGAGCAGAGAAGGATGGGGGAGGAATCTGGGTCAGGCCCAGATTCCTGGAGCCCTTGGAAAGTGGGAGGTGGAGGAAGACCCCCAGGAAGACCCCCACTGGGGAGGCCCCTGCCCCAGCGACCAAGGCCCTGGCAGAAGGGACCCCTCGATGGGCCAGACCCCTTTTCCCTCTCCCCTTACTCGGGGTAGGGATTCTCAGCAGAGGAGAGGCCAGCCCTGCCTGCCCCAAGACCCAGGCTTTGGCCCGGCCTTGACTTGGGGAATCTTGGGAATCTTCGGGCCTTGACTCTGGGAATCTTGGCTGTGGCTGGGAGAAAGCTGGGTGGTCTTGGAGGATGAGCAGAGGCGACAGGCTTGGGTGGGGCCGCTCGAACGTCCTTCCTAACCAGTGCCGTCCCGGGCACAGATCGGACTTCGACGTTGTCCGGCGAAGCAGTGGGTGGTGTCTGGCAGCGACTGGGAGATCGTTTCCCGATGACGTCACAGTGTGGTGTTTTCTCTTGGATGCAAACCACACTCTTCACTTGGCTTCAGAACAGCTTAAGCGAGCGAACAGAGACTAGGAGGGAATGGCAAGTGTCCGAGCAGGCGGGCGGGGGCGGCTTAGGATCTGTAGTCCTTTTTGCTGTAGGGTTTATTGCCCAAAATACTATCAATCTCGTGGATAATGGAAGACGACAGTTTTGGAAGGACCTGCGTGCAAGAACAAGAACGAATCAGAATCCCACCAAAAAGACGGGCCTGGCCTGGGGAGGAGCGGGGGCGAGGCTCTTCCAGATGCTCGGCTGGCCAGGCCCGGGTTACCCCATCACATCTGGGCTCCATCTGAGGCAGATGGAGGCCACGCTGCCTTTGTATTCCAGAAGGTCTGGGGCAGAGAGGAAGCATGCCTGGGTCTGTGCACTCCCCCTCAAATGTCAAGCTGCCCTAGAACCTTCCTGAAGGGTGGTGGCAGCAGTGACATAAAATGCAAACTCCAGGCCAAGTACTGGACTTCCATGTCCCCGACGGCTCTTTCCAGCTGCGCCTGCCTCAGCTAACAGCACCACTACCCTTCCGGGTGATACACCCGGGGCCCGACTTCCACCTCGCTTTCTCACCCCCACATCCAGTTTGTCAGCCAGTCCCGTGGGCCCCCACCTTCCCAAACATCCAGGATCCAACCACCACTCCCGTCTCAGACCCGCACCTGCCACTTCCCATCAGGGCTCTCTGCTTCGACTTTTGCTTCCCAAAGCCTCCCCGACGGAGCAGCCAGAGAGCAGGCTCCCTTTCCAGGCTGAGCTGCAGCTCGCCCTCCTCTGCCCACAATTTTGCCACGGCTCCCATCTCACTCAGAAGTCCTCAGAGGTGTGCCGTGCCTCTCGGGATCTGCCCCTCTCAGGATCTGTCCCTCTGCTCCAGGCCTTCTTAGGCCTTTGCATCAACTGTTCCTGCTGATGGAAGGTTCTTCCCGCAGGCACTGGCATGGCTTACTCCGCATCTCTTCAAGACTGCTCAAGCACCACCTTCTCAACAAGCCCACCTGACAGGCCCCCGGAACCTGGGTCTGCAGCACCACCGTCCCTGGCCCCAGTTCCCATCCCCTCCCCTTATCTCTGGCTTCTCTCCTACGGCGCTCATCCACCCTGACACACATTTTTTTTTTCCTTTTTTAAGATGGAGTCTCGCTCTGTCGCCCAGACTGGAGTGCAGTGGTACGATCTCAGCTCACTGCAAACTCCGCCTCCCGGGTTTATGCCATTCTCCTGCCTCAGCCTCCCGAGTAGCTGGGACTACAGGTGCCCGCCACCTCGCCCGGCTAGTTTTTTGTATTTTTAGTAGAGACGGGGTTTCACCGTGTTAGCCAGGATGGTCTCGATCTCCTGACCTCGTGATTCGCCTGCCTTGGCCTCCCAAAGTGCTGGGATCACAGGCGTGAGCCACCGCGCCCGACCTGCCCCAACACACATTCTAACCTCCTTGTTTCGTGCAGTTAGTGTTCATGTCTGTTCCTGCTGGAAAGCAAGCTCTCCAGGAGCAGAACTCTGATGGGTCCTGGACGCATCCTGAGCGCCTAGAACAGAGCCTGGCATGCAGGACGAGCCTGGGAGGATGCACTGGACAGGGCTCGGGCTGGGATGGGCGCTCTGCCCAGCAAGGCCTCTCACACTCACCTGTATTGCCCCAATGTTCTCCATGAGCTGGTCCGCGTTGGAGGCCCCCAGGAGCACGGAGCTGACTCCCTCATTCCTCAGGCACCAGGCTGTGGCGGTGAGACCCAAGGTGAGGGAGAAACACACACCCCAGGGGCCCCCGATGGTTCCGCCTGACTGGGCCGAGAGACCCAGCATCTTGGTCTGGGGGGCTGGGGGTGCCTAAGAAGCCCTGCAGTGCTGG